ATGAGAGATAATGTCATCAAAATAATTTAAAATGTTTACATAAAACAGAATTTACTTGGCAGCAACCAACAGACAAAAGTCTTCACATCTTCAAAGATAATCTATAAATCCAAAGGAGTATTACTATTAAAATTCAGTAAGTTCTCAGTTACGCAGAACAGTATGGGAAGAGGTATTCTATTTAACTGAATATTCTGATTAAGAGCATATTTCTACCCACATACATAATTGTACCAATTTTCTAGGAATAAAAACTTTCAGAATTGCTTTTTAAAAATATTTTAGTATATTCTGAAAGTTCTTCAAGATCAGCAGGCACATTAAATAACAGTACCTTGGAAGTTCCTCCACAAATATTTTTTAAGTCCCACTATATGGGTAGTTGTGTAATATTACTGATAAGATTTTTTTTAATTGTTTTTTCAAGACATGGTCTCCTTATATATGTCACTTGGGCTGGACCTCCAGGGCTCAAGCGATCCTCCGCCTCAGCCTCCCAAGTAGCAGGTACTACAAGCGTGCACCAACTTGCCTGACTAGTTTTGGGGAGTTTTTGTTATTTTGTTGTAGAGACAGGGTTTTGCCATGTTGCCCAGGCTAGTCTTGAACTCCTGGCTCAAAGCAATCTGCCTGCCTCAGCCTCCCAATGTGCTAGGATTACAGGCCTGAGCCACACCATCTCAGTCAGTACTGATAAGATTTCTGACTGGGTGGCTAGATAAACCAACTGTTAAAAGCACATGCACCACTACTCAAAAATATTTTAAAAGTGACTTTAAGATCACATGCAAATTTTGAATGTTTTTGGAAGTCTGCTGTTCTTAGTTACAGAGCACATGATTCTTTTTTCTTTTTTATAGGTTATAAAATTTAGTGGATCATATCAAGATAAAGTTACTTTTCAAAATCATATGACATTATTTTGAAATTTAAAAATGTAGATGTACAATTTCACATCTTTTTATCACTGAGTATGATTTTCAACTTGCTACATTGATTAAATTACTTAATGTTAGAAATTTGAAAATACTGGCATGGAGTTATGTGAATCATATTATATAAATCTCAGGCTATAAATAGTCTTGCATATAGAACAGGTAAATTTTTTTAAAAAGTGTCAAGTTAAATACTGCTTCTAAAATTGAAAATATGCCTTTAAAACATCAAATATTAAAAGAAAACTAAGAAATTCAATCACTTTCTAGGCTATTGGTCCTCGGAAAAATCCAGATTTTTGAGTTTCTAGTATCCACTCTGATGTCTGAGGCTACTTATACAAGTTCAGAAGAGAACAGGAGAGAAACTTAGGTAATTTCAAGATGTTTCTCTGTGAGCATGCTGCTGGAAGAGAATTGTAAAAGTGGGTAAATCCCTCAACTTGAGGAGCAAGGGCAATAATACCACTCCTAGTGTGAGATGATTGTTTTAACTTTTATAAAACATTTACAATAAAGTGAGGAAGAAAAATGTAGTTACCCAGTGGAAAAGAATTCCATGCTCATGATTAGGAAGAAACAATATCATGAAAACGGCCATACTGCCCAAAGTAATTTATAGATTCAATGCTAGCCTTATCAAGCTACCTTCACAGAACTGGAAAAACCACCTTAAACTTCATATGAAACCAAAAAAGAGCCCACATAGACAAGACAATCTTAAGCAAAAAGAAAAAGCTGGAGGTATTGTGCTACCTGAATTTAAACTATACTATAAGATTACAGCAATCAAAACAGCATGGTACTGGTACCGGTACCAAAACAGAGATATAGACAAATGGAACAGAACAGAGGCCACAGAAATAATGCCACACACTACAACCATCTGATCTTTGACACACCTGACAAAAACAAGCAACGGGGAAAGGATTCCCTTTTTAATAAATGGTGCTGGGAAAACTGGCTAGCCATGTGCTGAAAGCTGAAACTGGACCCATTCCTTACACCTTATACAAAAATTAACTCCAGATGGATTAAAGATTTAAGTATAAGATCTAATACCATAAAAATCCAAAAGAAAACCTAGGCAAAACCATTCAGGACATAGACATAGGCACGGACTTCATGACTAAAACACCAAAAGCAATGGCAACAAAAGCCAAAATAGACAAATGAGATCTAATTAAACTTAAGAGCTTCCACACAGCAGAAGAAACAATCATTAGAGTGAACTGACAACCAACAGAATGGGAAAAAATTTTTGCAAGCTACCCATCTGATGAAGGGCTAATATCCAGAATCTACAAAGAACTAAAACAAATTTACAAGAAAAAAAAAAAAAAAACTCCATCAAAAAGTGGGTGAAGGATACAAACAGGCACTTGTCAAAAGAAGACATTTATGTCACCAGCAAACATATGAAAAAATGCTCACCATCACTGGTCATTAGAGAAATGCAAATCAAAACCACATTGAGATACCACTCATGCCAGTTAGAATGGCGATCCTTAAAAAATCTGGAGACAACAGATACTGGAGAGGATGTGGAGAAATAGGAATGCTTTTACACTGTTGGTGGGAGTGTGAATTAGTGCAATCATTGTGGAAGACAGTGTGGTGATTCCTCAAGGATCTAGAAATAGAGATACCATTTGACCCAGCAATCCCATTACTGGATATATACCCAAAGGATTATGAATCGTTCTATTATAAAGACACACGTACACATATGTTCATTGTGGCATGGTTTACAATAGCAAAGACTTGGAACCAACCCAGATGACCATCAAGGATAGACTGGATAAAGAAAATGTGGCACATATACACAATGGAATACTATGCAGCCATAAAAAAGGATGAGTTCATGTCCTTTGCAGGGACGTGGATGAATCTGGAAACCATCATTCTCAGCAAACTGACACAAGAACAGAAAAACCAAACACTGCATGTTCTCACTCATAAGTGGGTGTTGAACAATGAGAACACATGGACACAGGGAGGGGAACATCACACACTGAGAGTCTGGGTGGGGGCTAGGGGAGCGATAGCAGGGGGTGGGGATGTTGGGGAGGGATGATAACATTAGGAGAAATACCTAATGTAGGTGAAGGGGGGATGGAGGCAGCTAACCACAATGGCATGTGTATACCTATATAACAATCCTGCATGATCTGCACATGTACCACAGAACTTAAAGTATAATAAAAAAAATGTGATACCTTGTTCTTTCTACAACTATCCTGTGGAAAGGTTAAATTATAAACCTAATATTCTGAGACCTTAAAAGGTGTCTGACAGCTTTCCCGTTTCTTGGCTACTTTACTACAACCACGCCTAACATATTCCTGGACTTACTCTAAAATAGAGAGATTGATATTAATGTGTGGTTGCTGGCAGCAGCCTCATTCTTATGCAACCACACCTGGTCTAAGTAGCATACCAGACCAAGGTTAAATTACAAGCCTCCTGAGGAAAGTGGATGTGATCTCTGTGCTTGGCTCAGTTCAGAATTATATGTGTGTGGTATTTCATAAATATTAGATGATGGTGATGATGGTGAACACAAAGGCCAAATGCCGACCTCTCCAGACTTCACGGGGATTTCTAACAGGAAGCTGAGGGATGTTAACAGTCTAGTTACATCATTTCCATAGTTGCAACTTTCTTCTAAATGAGTCCAAAGAGGAAGGAAGAATTTATCTGCAGACTCGGGATGACCCTCCAAAGTAGCCTTGGATAGAGACAATGCATTAAAAATTAGAGAAGAAGGGGTTGAGACCAATTAAGCAGCAGGCAGGGAACTGAGCACTTACAAATGCAGCCTCTCTAGCTGTGTCTACTGGCACCGGGATTCAGGATTCTGTTTGCTCTGCTTAATAGCCTGTTATCAAAATTATAGAGCCAAACCAAGGTCTGTACACAAGAAAGGCACAACTACTCCAGCTTTGGGGCGGCAGTTTCTTGGTATTTCTATCTTCCTTTTCCTGAATGCTGGCAACACTGACACTCCTGCTTGGCCTCAGTTTTGGCTGAGACAGGCTTGAAAAATACTGTGAGGCAGCCCTGCTTTAAAGCAATCAAGGCTGTCAACCTTGGCTAATTATTAGAATCACTTGAGGAGCTTTAAAAATATTCATCTCTGGGCCCCACCTCTAAGAGTCTTATTTAACATATTAGGAGTGAGACTCAAGTGTTAGTATTCCTAAAGAGCTCTCCCAGTGATTCCAAATTGCAGCCAGGGCTGAGAACAACTGCAATAGTCAGCAATATGTGTTCTCTATATTGCTTTACATTCCATTGAACTGATTACTGCTCGTGTGTGTTTTTTTTTCTTTTTCTTTTTCCTTTGTTTGCTGTTTTTTCCTGCCCGTAGTTTTCAAAGATGAACAAAAGAATTTTCCTTGCTCTAAGGCAGGACAAGACATGACAAGAGCTGGCTAACATCGGCAGGGCATGCCTGGTTTTGTATGAAGTATGTGTAAGAACAAACATTCTGATTCATTAAGGCAGTGAGAGACATTTTTGAACTATGAGTATATTGTTTTATTCCCCAGTGTCTTTAATTCTCTTTACAAATGCATCAAAACAAAATAAAATTGCTCTGTGTTTTTTTTTACTAAAGAAACAGAATTAAAGAACTTTAGAATTTTAGATAGTAGCGCCATCATTCAAAAAAATGCTACCCTTATGTAAAACTGCTTAATTTCACCATCTGAACCTGTTTCTTTACAGTTAAGTGCGATTCCTAAAAAGCACTTCATTTTTTTGCATAATGGAAAGACCAGGTATAAAATTACAAGAAAAACAGATTTTGAACTTCTCTCCTCAACTTTTTAAAAAGAAAAATGTATCTCCTGAGGGCTTTCTTGATTTATTCCAGGATTTAAAAAAAATCATTCTTAACAACAATGATAAAGTTCCTTCTCCTTGAAATTTATTCACCAAATAAGCAACACCTTTTAAAATCTACTCATTCAAACTCTATCCCACACCCTCCCCATCATATATATGTAAGGCCATATAAATCCAAATCTCAAAAAGCTGATATACAAACCACTCAGAACATTTTTCATGCAATATCTGTTTTAATTCAGCAGTAAAGGCAGCACATGATCAGAAATATGTAGGGTTATGAAAGAGCTCGCCAGGAAATGACAGCTGTTGCACAGGGTATCAGCAACTGTGCACAACATGGCAAGGCTTTCAGTCCTCCAGGGAGGGTCTTGACTTCTCAGTGCCCACTTCAGGAATACATAGTTAACTGTAGCCATTCTTTGAGAGACACTTGAATCAAGCCATCTGTATCTCTATCCAGAGACTTGAAGGCACGAAACATGGCATCCAGGCGGACCAAACAGCTGATGAAATTGTTAAAATCCATATCTCCATTCTCATTAGCATACCGGCGGACAATCATTTGGTAAAGTTGTTCATTTAGCTTGAAGCCTGCTGCCTGCAGAGCTCCCCGCAGCTGAGAATTTCCCAACGACCCAGAATGGTCCCTGTCATACTGCTTATAAACACACTGCCATTTCTTGATGTTGTTCCACAGATACTTAAATTCTTCAAAGCCCAGCTTCCCAGTCGTGTCACTGTCCATGACAGCCACAATGCTCCGGCACGTGTCGAGACTGAAACCATCGGTCTTCAGATCCCTGTGCTTAGAAAGGACTTTGTTGAGAATATTCATCAGGTCAGTGGCACCCACCTCCATGTCTGGTCCAGCCAGCTGTGCAAATTGCTGCCGAAATCGCCTAACTTCCTCACTTTCTGAGGCTTCCACATTGGTGAAATGCTGCTGAGTAGGAGGAGGAGGTTCTGGAGTATACTGAGCTGCTGCAGCCTCACTGATAAAATTCACAATTCCTCCAACTATCCCTCCAATATTTCCTCCTCCTCCTCCTCCTCCTCTTCTCTGCCCACCTCCTCCAAAGAGGCCTCCAAGAGCTTCTCCAAGACCTCGATCTGCTCCTTCCAATAGAGCCTTTGCAAGAAACATGCTTTCAGTTTAACAAGCAAGTGTGAAAACTGCTGAAATCTTGGAGATGGTATGAAAAAAGATGAAATGGAGTTCAAGTCGTTTACATGTGGAAGAACTGGCTTTTCTTTACCTGCTCATATTGCACCACGCCCCATGATGTGATGTTTCACATCCTACTGAAGATACTGAGTTCCATGAGGTCCTAGCACCTGCCATATTTTACAAGGCCTCAATAAAACTGTTTTCACTCTTTCGGATATTCATAAATTATAGTATGTATGATACCTTAGGATAATAGTTTCAAAGAAAAAAATTAAACTATGCCTTTTTATGTCATTGATTTCTTAGTCCTCTGTCTTAGCACCTAAAAAATATGTGCATTTTCCTAACAGGAAGAAGGTAAATGACTCAAGGAAATCAAAAATTTATTTTCCAGGAAATATTTATTGTTAGAATTGAAGAAATCTAGGGCACTGAAAGAATATTTATCTAATCCTCTTCCCTTAGCAGTCTCAAAATCCAATAGTCTTAAGAAAAACTTAGAAAAGAGATTTTTATTTATTTTTTATTTATTTTTTTTTTTGAAAAAAAGAAAGAGGAAGAGAAAGGGGGAGAGAGAACAGGAGTCTTGCTCTATTGCCCAGGCTGGAATGCAATCTAAAAATAGGTATTAAAAACCTCCTTTATGCCAATAATTGTGTTTAACAGCAGAGACAGGAAGGAATAAGGGAAGAAAATAACAAACAAACAGCCAACCAATATTTCATTTAAGTCTGTGATATGCTATGCAAATGCTGAAGAGTAGTTTACTTCCATTTATGTGGTCACTTTAAAAATAGGTGTAATGTGATACTGAGAAAAATGTATGTTCTGTGGACCTTGGGTGAAGAATTCTATAAATATTCACTGAGTTTACTTGTTCCAGGTCTGAGTTCAAATCATAGATGTCCCTGTTAATTTTCTATCTAGTTGATCTGTCAAATATTAACAATGTGGTGTCAGTCTCCCACTATTATTATGCGGGAGTCCAAGTCTCTTTATAAGTCATTATGAACTTGTCTTATGTATCTGGGTGTTCCTATATTGGGTGCATATATATTTATGATCATTGACTCCTGTTGTTGCATTGATCCTTTTACCATTATGTAATGTCTTTCTTTGTTTCTTTTAGTCTTTCTTGTATTAAAGTCTATTTTGTCAGAGATGAAAGTTACAACTCCTGGGTTTTTTTTTTGTTTATTTGTTTGTTTTTGCTCTCCATTTGATTGGCAAGGCTTCCACCAACCCTTTGTTTTGAGTCTTTGTGTGTCCTTGCTTATGAGATGGATCTGGATACAGTGTACCAATGGGTTTTGACTTTTTATTCAATTTGCCTGTCTGTGTCTTTGATTGGGGCATTTAATCCATTTAAGTTTAGAATTAATATTGATATTTGTGAGTTTAATGTTCTCGTTTAATGCTAGCTGGCTATTTTGCTCATTAGTTGATATAGATTCTTCATTATGAAGGTACTCTTTACCTTTTGATAAGTTTTTGGAATGACTGATACTGGTTGTTCCTTTCTGTGTATAGTGCTTCTTTCAGAAGCCCTTGTAAAGCAGGCCTGGTGGTGATGAAACCTCTGAGTGCTTTCTTGTTTGCAAAAAATTTTATTTTTTCTTCATTTATGAAGCTTAATTTGGCTGGATATGAGATTCTGGGTTGAAAATTCTTTTCTTTGAGGATACTGAATATTGACCCCTACTCTCTTTTAGTTTGTAGGGTTTCAGCTGAGAGATCTGCTGTGAGTCTGATAGGCTTCCCTTTATGGGTAACCTGACCTTTCTCTCTAGCTGACTTTAGAATTTTCTCCATTATTTCAACCCTGGTGAATCTAACAATTATGTGTCTTGGGGTTGCTCTACTTGAGGAATATCTTTGTGGTGTTCTCTGCAGTACCTGGAATTGAGTATTGTCCTGCCTTACTAGGTTAGGAAAGTTTTCCTGAATACTATCCTGAAGAATATTTTCCAGCTTGGATTCATTCTCTTCATGACATTCAGGTACACCTATCAAAGGTAAATTAGGTATTTTCACATAGTCCCATATTTCTTGGAGACTTTGCTCATTCCTTTTTACTTTTTCTTCTTTAATCTTCTCTTCTCGTTTCATTAAGTTGGCCTTTGACCTCTGATATCCTTTCTTCTGCTTGATCAATTCGACTGTTAAAATCTGTGCATACTTCACGAAGTTCTCATATTGTATTCTTCAGTTCCATTAATTCACTTATATTCCTCTCTAGATTGTCTATTCTCATTAGGATTTCGTCAAACCTTTTTTCAAGGCTCTTAGTTTCTTTACATTAGGCCAAAACATGCTCTTTTAACTCACAGAAGTTTCTTATTATCCACCTTCTGAAGCCTAATTCTGTTAATGGAGTGCACTCGTTCTCCATCAGGCCTCCTTCCCTTGTTGATGAGGAACTGTGATCCCCTGTAGAGGGAGAGGCATTCTGATTTTGGGTACCTTCAGCCTTTTTATGCTGGTCTCTTCCCATCATTGTAAATTTGTCCACCTGTCGTCTTTGTAATTAACAACTTTCAAATAAGGTCTCTGAGTGGACGTCCAACTTGTTGATTCCCAGCGCCGAAATCTGACCAACCCACGCGCCGGCTAAAACAGTGGTGTGGTTTTCTGTTTGGGAATCTCCGGTCTGGCTTCCTTCTTGAGTCCCTTTTTCAATCAGCTGAATAGGCGACTCTGCCTTCCCAAAGCTCCCAATGTCGACCAAAAGGGGACCCAGTCCTGTTTACTCTGCACCAAGAACTGCTGCACTGGCAAAACCGCCACACTGACCACAAGAGTCATGCTGGTGACCCGTGGGGCTCCTCCGCTGGGAATCTCTTGGTCCATGAGCAAGAAAAATTCATCTGAAAGTGTGATGTCCTCTCATTCTCTGCACTTTCACTGGGAGCTACAATCCTGAGCTGCTAGTAATTGGCTGTCTTGAATCCCTCTCTCAGAAAAGAGATTTTTAAAATGCAAGGCCCTGAGTTCCCATTCCCAGAGATTCTGATTCCATAGGTCTGCTGTGGAGTCTGTGATTGACACTGCTAAAATCTTTTCTGAAGTATAATATTTGTATAGAAGAAAGTATAATATAAATCATAAGTGGATAGTTCAAAGAATTTCACAGACCGAACATCCATGTTAGAGCATCCAGATCAAGAGATAGAACATCACCAGCATCCTGGAAGCCTCTTCATACTTCTTTCCAGTTACTTCCCTCTTCCAAGGATAGCCACTGTCCTGACATCTAACACCATACATGTATTTTTGCAGTTTAAATAAATTAAATCAGACAGTACAGACTCTTTTGTGTCTTCCTTTTTCACTGTAAAAATTTTAAACATATTAAAATTGTGATAAAATATACATACAATAAAATGTACTATTGTAACCATTTTTAAGTATATAGTTGAGTAGCATTAAGTATATTTGCATTATGCAACCATCACCACCATCTATCTTCAGTACTTTTTTCAACTGGCAAAACTGAAATGGTACCCTTTAACTCTCATTCTCCCCTTCCCCCACCTCTGGTAACGATCATTCTACTTTCTATCTCTATGACTTGACTACTCTGTATACCCTATACAAGTGGAATAATACAATATTTGTTCTTTTGTGACTTGCTTATTTCAATTAGCATAATTTCTTCAAGATTCATCCCTGTTGTAGCATCTGTCAGAACTCCCTTCCTTTCTAATGATGAATAATATTGTATTGTATGAATATACCCATTTTGTTTTTCCATTATCCCATTGGTGGATACTTGGGATTTTAAGCTATTGTGAATAATGCTGCTATGAACATGGGTATACAAATATTTGTTTGAGTCTTTGCTTTCAATTCTTTTGGGTATATACCAAGAAGTAGAACTGCTGAATCATATGATGATTCTATTTTTATATTTTTAAGGAACTACCATATTGATTGTACCACTTACATCCTCACCAGCAATACACAAGAGTTCCAATTACTCCATATCCTTGCCAACACTTGTTATTTTCTATTTTAGTGTTGTTTTGTTTTCTAATAATAATCATCCTAATGGGTGTAAAGTGGTATAACACTGTAGTTTTGATTTGCATTTCCCTAATGATTAATGATGTTGAACATCTTTTAATGTATTAATATTTACTGGCCAAAGAGGATCTTTGGGAAAATGTCTATTTAAATCTTTCGGCCATTTTAAAATCTGGTTACTTGTGGAGTTCGTATTGTTGTTGAGTTACAGGAGTTCATTAAATATTCTAGATATTAATCCCTTATCAGATAGATAATTTGTAAAAGTTTTCTTTCATTCTGTAGGTTACCTTTCCACTCTGTTGTTATTGTCATCTGATGCACAAAAGTTTAAAATTTGTATGTGGTCCAATTTATCTATTTTTTTAAGCTATTTTTTCTTTTGGTATAATATTCAAGAAATCATTGAGAAATCCAATGTCATGAAGCTTTTCCACTGTTTTCATTGAAGAGTTTTATAGTTTCAGCTCTTATGTTTAGATCTTTGGTCCATTTTGAATTAACTTTTGTGTATGCGTAAGGTAAGGGTCCAACTTCATTCTTTTACATGTGGATATATAATTTTCCCAGCACCATTTGTTGAAAAGATTGTCCTTGACCAAGAATGGCCAAGACCACTCTTGTTGAAAATCATTTGACCATATACAGAAGGGTTTATTTATGGGTTCTCTATTCTATTCCATTGGCTTATATGTCTTTATTGAAACAAGTGCTGCACTGTTTTGATTACTGTAGGGTTGTAGTAAGGTTTGAAATGAGGAAATGTCATGATAAAAACACACAACAAACAAAGTTTTCAACTTTGTTTTTCTTTTTCAAGATTGTTTTGGCTATTGAGGGTTCCTTAAATTTGAATTTCAGGATAGATTTTAGGATGAATTCTTGAATCCATGGATTTTCAGATGGAATCTTCAATTTTTGTAAAAAAACGTCGGGACTTTGAAAAGGACTGCAGAGCATTGTGAGGAGTACTGACTCTTAATATTGTCTTCTAATCCATAAACATGGAATATCTTTCCATTTATTTGTCTCTTCTTTAATTTCTTTTAGCAGTGCTTTGTAGTTTTCAGTGTACAAGTCTTTAGCTTCCTTCATTAAGTCTATTCCTAAGTATTTTATTCTTTTTTTAATGCCATTGTAATGGAATTGTTTTCTTAGTTTCCTTTTCAGGATTGTTCATTGCTGGTGTTTAAAATGCAACTGGTTTTTGTGTGTTGACTTTATATCCTGTAACATTGCTAAGTCCCTTAATTAGTTCTGTTTTTTGTATGTGTGTGGGGGGGCAGAGGGAGGGGATCTGCAGGGTTTTCTGCAACTAAGATCGTATTATTTCTTAACAGAGATAATTTTACTTCTTCCTTTCCAATTCATATGCCTCTTATTTCTTTTTCTTGCCTAACTGTTTTGGTGATGATTTCCAGTACCATGTTGAGTAGAAGGATGAGAGCGGGCATCCTAGTCATATTCCTGATCTTAGAAGAAAAGCTTTCATTCTTTCATCACTGAACATAATGTTAGCTATGCACTTTTCATATATGGTATTTATGTGTTTGTTATGTTGGGATCCTTTCCTTCCATTTTGTTGTGTGTTTTTATCATGGAAGAGTAACAAATTTTGTCAAATGCATTTTCTGCATCCATTGAGATGATCATGTAATTTCCCCCTTCATTCTGAGAATATGCTGTGTTACATTAATTGATTTTCATATACTGAACATCTTGCATTCCAACAATAAATCCCACTTGATCATGGTATATAATACTTTTAATGTGCTATTAAATTCTGTTTGCTAGCATTTATTTGATGATTTCTGCATCCATAGTCATATGACATACTGGTCTGTAGTTTTCTTATCTCTTAATGTCTTTATCTGACTTTGGCCTCAGAGAATGAATCATAAAGTATTCCCTGTTCTTTAATTATTTGGAAGAATTTGAAAACAACTAGTGTTAGTTCTTCTTTCAATGCTGGGTAGAATTTTCCAGTGAAGCCAACCGGTCCTGGGCTTTTCTTTGTTGGGAGGTTTTTGGTTACTGATTCAATATCTTTGCTAGTTATAGGTCTATTTATATGTTTTACTTCTTCATGATTCAGTATTGATAGGTTGTGTGTTTCCAGGATTTGACAATTTCATCTAGCTTATGCAATCTGTTGGCATACAGTTGTTCATAGTACTCACTCATCATCCTTTTTATTTCTGTGAAATTGGCAGCAATGTCTTCTCTTTCACTTCTGGTTTTATGTGCCTGGCTTTTTCCCCCCTCAAAACTATATTTTTGGGATTTGATTTTACATTTTTAATAAGCATCTTCAGAAGTCAGTCTGTAACAGGTAGTCCCAGAATATACTTTGAGAAATCCTACCTTTAATAGTAGTTACAAGTCAGAGTACAAGTTCAGAGGTTGCTGAAAGTTTTATTGGTGAACTTGAGGAAAAGTGGTTAGGACTTAATAATTAAGTCATTATATCACTTAGCATTTGGGGTGTCAAGTTCAAATGCAAAATAACAATACTATCTCCCTTTCTTACTTCTAATGATTCAATCTGATTTATTATGTATCAGGACTTGGGCTCAATGGTTAGGTTACAAAGGTGAATAAAGTAGGATGGCTGTGCTCAAGAATCAAGAAAACTGGTATAATTATAATCTGAAGTCTATGTTTACATTCCTACTATTAATACTAATCTATTATATTTGTATATAATATGGTTTAGTATTTAGGTTTCATTGAATTCCTCTGAAAGATACAAATGTATTTCAGATAAGGTAAGAAAAACTCAAGAAAAGTTAAGCTACTATCCAAGATCATGCAGCAAATACATTGTCCTTTGATATCAAACCAGTATAAGTACCTAAAAAGGGATCAATGAATTCTAATGAGGCAGAGGAAAGGAGAACATTGACCTATAGAAGATATAATGTGTAGGCCTGACCAGAGGCTGAGTTAGAGTTCTCAAAATAGATAAGGGATATAAAAGGACAGTATAGCAAAGATACAGAGGAGCTAAAGTTTATGAGGTATTCAAGAGATGGTGAATAGTATGATGCAGTAAGACTCCATTGCTAGGAGTGTTGAGAGCTAAAGAAAGATCAATAAGACGGAATCAGTTTGGAAAGGGCTTTGAACTGCTATGTGGCAGAGTCTCTCTCAACAATAATTGTAGAAACTACTGAGAGCTCAAATATAAAGAAAAAAAATAGATGTGAAATTACTTTGGAAATCATGTAACTCTAGAATTGAATAATGATTATTCTAGCTATTACTAGGGAAAGAATACTAGCCAGGCAACATTGCTCTGTCTAGGACAGGGGAGTAATGTCCTGTCCTCTGCCACACCGAATGGTTTGTGTAAAACTTTGCAACGACTGATTTCATTTCTAATGGACTCAATGAAATGGTCTCTGTGAACACCAAAAGCCAAATGTCTTCTTTAACCACTCAGAAAAAGTATCACAAAAGAACTGTCTTCCTTTTAGGGAATCACAAGGGGCCATCTGGCTTTAGACAGATTTAAACCCATTCATATAAGCTTCTCTCAGAGAAAATTACATGGACTTTATTTTTATAATATTGCAAATTAACTTGATCATATTGACTGCCATGTAAAATGTGCCTCCTTGTGCCCATCTGAAGTGGTTTTTTTTTCACACTGTGGTTTAAATCCAATTCTTCTCATTTATTTTCTGTAGGCATTTGGCCAACAGTTTCTCATAAGCCATCACAGAATAAAAGGCTAGTATTAGATTAACAAGGTTTTTCTCCTCTGGATGATTTAATCCCCTATGGCTACTTATTAGAACATTAATAGCAACTTTAATTGCTCTCTATGGGAACTCTACCATCCATATCTGCAAAAAAAAAAAAAAAAATGTAGTGGGGGAGAAGCCACATCTGATGCATAATTTAGTCCCAATTTGGAGAACAAAGTTATGGAACTTAAAAAGTATACAATGATACACAATGTCTTTAAAAACATTATTCAAAATAGTTCAAAAGTGGAAACAACCTAAATGTTCACCAACATGAATGGATAAGCAAAATACAATATATCCACATAGAAGAATACTATTCAGCAATAAAATGATGACTGATACATGCTACAAGATAGATAAACCTTAAAACATTATGCTAAGTGAAAGAAGCCAGACACAAAGACATACATTATATAATTTCATTTCTATAAAATGTCCAGAAAAGCAAATTTATAGAGATAGAAAGTTGATTAGGGGTTGCCTAGGGCTAGGACATAAGTAGTGACAGGAATTAATAGTTAATTACATAAAAATCTTACTGGGGTGATGGAAATGTTCTAAAATCGCTTGAAAGTTGGTAACTGCACAACTTGGTAAATTTACAAAAAAAAAATACTAAATTGTATACTTGGGTGAGTCATATGATATGTGAAATATGCCTCAAAAGAATTTTTTTAATCAATAGGAACAGTTTGTAGTAAAAAAGAATACCAAACTAGGAATTCTAGTGTCAGTCCTGCAATTAACCAGCTATGTGGCCTTGAGCACGTAACTTTCTCTCTTGAGCTGGCAATCTTCTGCAAAATGAAGAAGTTGGGCAATTTGATACCAAAAGTGTATTTAGCTCTACAATTCTGTGAATCTAGATTTGCGACAGGATTATCATTCTTGAATTGAGTTTAGTTTCCTTCTGGCGCCTAAACCTTTTAATGCTATATATTAATTTAATTTAATCTTTCTTTATCTGGGTTTGGTTCTACAACTTTTAAAGACATGCTCACTTACCCTTATTCCCACTTTGATATATTGTCTGGTGACTGCAACCTATTAAGTATATTGCTGTCCAAAAAGAATTCCAAGGGGAACTGAATCATGTCTAAATAACACAGAAGGATTCACAACTCCCATTTTAGAGGAAGGCTTTCTGTCAAGTGGGGCTTTCATCTAACTGCAACATGATCTGGACCAGACCTTCCCAATTTGTTGATAAGAACGTCATGTTCGATGAAATCAAAAGTCTTTCTAGAGTTCATATAGATGAAATCTGTTTCGTTTTCCTTATCATCTTAGACTGTCACTCTGCCAGAGAGAGGGAAATTAAGTTGGTGTGACACATTTTCTTTTACAAAGCCTTGTTCTTTACTTCCTTGTACTCTTGGAGGAGGCCAGTAATTACTCCCTTTCTCTAGTTTAAAAAATTACATTTTAATTTTACAGCTCCTTTCTGTTTCCTCTATGTATCCCCCAAGTATACTTGCATTGAGAAGCCAAGGTAAAGCATGTAATTCTCATGTCTAGATGGACATGTTAGTTAACGATACTCAGACATAGAAAATACTATGATGGACTAAATGGAGGAGCTAAGTGAACCTGAGAATTGAATAGGGAAATACTCAGACATATAGGACCAAACATTCAAGACAATTTATATAACTGAATAGAAAAGTTTATGTGTCCCACCCAGAAAGTTATAGCCTCTTTTCTTTTTTTTGGCAAATTATGTAAGTTGTAGAGTAGATTTCATACAGCAAATCCTGATTAACTGGAATTGGAATCAAAATGGTTCTTTTCATGTGAATTATGGAGTGCTGTATTACATATAAAACCTCAACTGGAAACTTAAAGGATAGAAGACTTTACTGTTCATTTCCAGTCATTTAAGCCACCTAAATGCCTTGTCCTAACTCTCAGCATGAGCAGAAAACCTGCACACTACAGCACCCTACCTTCTCTAACAGGAAGGGGCAGGCAAGAATGTTTGTTATTATTGGCACTTAAGATTTAACACTTGAACTAATACCAAGAACAAGAACAGGGCAGACAGGAAAAACTTGGAATGAAGAAACACATTCATTCCATATAATGAGAAACAGTAATAAAACATCTACAGAAGTTTACAATAGCCAAGAAGGCTGGATTGCCAAAGTGCTAAAGTATATACAAACTTTTCCTGTCTAATATTTAAACAAAGTACATAGTAATGCCAGAAGAACCAAGTACTTGCTAGGAGGCAGAAATGGGAAAAATCATGATTATTGTTGAATTCTTTACAGAATGGAAATCATAATCATCTATCTAAATTTTACTAAGGAATAATCTATTATGCACATAATGGTGTTGGTAAAAAGAGAAAGTGAGCTCATGCCAGACTACAGATGAGAATTAGAAATCAATTTCCTCACTCTTTTCCTCTCATCTGTGAAGATGAATGATATACCACTACTTACAACTATGGGAGGATAGTAACAAGAGCTAGACAGATTAGTTAAGAATAAACTCTTAGTCATCCCTTTAAATCAGATGTAGAATACCCAAAAATTAATAACAGTCACTATAAGCACTGATGTATAGTGACATACTAGTCCTTCAATCCAGTTCTTAAACCTGGGAGCATGCTTTGTTTTCATCAGCTTAGGAAATACAGTAGAGACCAGCTGGTGGGCCAAATCCAATCTGGTGCCTGTTTTGTTAATAAAGTTTTATTGGGGCATAGTCATGCTGTTCATCTATGTATTTTTATGGCGATTTCTGCACTATAGTAGTGGAGATGAATAGTTGTAACAGATACCATATTGTCTGCAAAGTAAAAAATATTTTCTACCTGGTCCTTTACATAGAGAAAGTTTCCTGACTGAAATATAGCTTTGCTGCTAGTGAGTATGGTGACAGTGTTAGATAGAAAATTAAGATGAACACATCTTGAGATACAGTGTGGAAGAGATATGACTTGTTTGTGGTAGGAGGTAAGAGGCAGATAATATGGTATATTGGCAAGCTTCCAACAAAAATTATATGCTTACAGAAATATGCAAGAACTGTTTTATAGGTACAGAAGATACTGCCGCCAGGGAAGCACACAGCTGGTGAATAACACAGGGCTAAAGGAGGATGAAATGAACAATGATGCTGTTCTGAATGTTGCAAGACATTGTTATAACTGTAAAAATGATTGTGTTATAATTAATTCTGATTTAGCCAGTGTAAAAATTTCTTAATCTTGTTAAGTGTCTTTGAATTCCTTCAAGTATGCTGGTATAAAATCTACTTTTAATTTGAATCATAAACATAAAAAAATGTTGAGAATCCACTGTTTTAAACTGTTGTTTAAGCCCTTAGCTCTAACTCATCTGTACATTTAATCCACAATGAACCTCTGAACCAGAGAGTTAAGAACACATTCACAAAAATTAATAAGCTAAATTAAACCTAAAGATGAAAATAGTCTTTTTTGTTTTTCAAAGATATGAGACCTTTCCAAAGGAAATTATCCCAAACTAGTGAACTATGCCATGCTTTGGATCATGAATACCACATTTCTGTTGGACCTTCAAACGGTCTGCCATCAAATATCTGAGAATCTAAAGAACATGTTAGAAGGAGCTAATAGCATATTTTTGTAGGATAAACTGAGACAAAAACCATTATGAGGTTTTTGCAGACTAGCCAAGGATGCAGGTGGGAAGAAAAAGTAAGGGAATGGTAGAGAGATATTGAGGTTTTTCCCTCCATCCCCCAGATTCTAACCACAATGGCATTAGACTTAAGAAAAGATGAGAAAAGAAAAGAATAAAAGGGGAAGGAGGATAAAGTGGGAAAGGAACATGGGAAGAACTTATGGGAACATTTTTCACTGTAAGAATTTCTAGCTGCTCAAAGAGCAACAGGGACACCTTACCTTTTCTCTTTCCCATCCTTTCTCCCCTTCTCCCCATTATGCACTTAGTTTGACAAGATAAGCTACCCTGAAAGAAACAAACTGTGGAGCTGCTGAAATTCCTTGACTTTCCCATCAAACATCCCTCTGTTAAATCACTTGCAGAGACTGAGAAAACAAACCTAGCATGGAAAGTGAGTATGTATATAAGGTGTGGCATCAATTGCACAATTCAGTTTCTCAAAACAAAGTAAGTCTTCACAGGCAGACAGGCAGGTGTGCTCAGAACAGAGAGAGAGAGACAGACAGAGAGAGAGAGAGAGAAAGGAAAAAAGGAAAAAGGAAGGAAAGAAAGGTCAAATGCATTAGTCTTTAATTCTCCAGACTATTTTCTCTACCTTCCAGGTATGTTGGAGATGAAAAAAAAAAAAGTGCTTTGAAGAACAGTTATGGTTCATATCTAAACTTCAGACATATCATACAAAGAAGTAAAAAAAAAAAAGCAAAAAAAAACCCTACCCATAATTATAAAATAATATGTATGCTACCAAATCATTCCATGCAAAAATGTGGTGACCAAATAGGCTACAAAGGCTCACCAGTCTTCTAACTGCCTGGGCCAATTGTTATCTCTAGTCTGAGTTAGTCAATCAGCTAGCTGGCAGTTACTTTAATCCTTGGTTTATATCCCCTTCCCCATTCAAACCTTCCTATACTCACAGTGCTGTACAAACAGTGAGACTATTGGCAGGTATCATCAATCATCAAAAGACGGAACTGGTGTCATAACAATCCTGTAACTGCTAGCTATACTAGTTTGACACCTGAAGGACAGGGCAAGCTCTACAGATATTATTTTTAATTTTGATTAAAAATCCTGATGAGCACAATGTCTAAGACGTACTATAAACTTTGTCCTTTGTCCCTGTTTCTTGTCCCATCCTATTTCCCTATTTCCTGTCCTGGTTTGTATGTTCCTGCCATATTCCTTCTCATCACTAGTTTCGTATATATAAAAATTTTATTTAAATTACTGGCATGGTTTCTAAAGCCATAGCGGAAAATGCTATATAAATCTCAGAAATATTAGTAATCATACAAGTAAAAAGGTACGTCTAATTTCCCAACTTGCACTTCTGGATGGCTGTGGTGGCTCGGATCTATAATCTCAGCCCTTTGGGAGACCGAGGTGAGTGGATCACCTGAGATCGGAATTCAAGATGAGCCTGGCCAACATAGTGAAACCTTGTCTCTACTAAAAATACAAAAATTAACCAGGTGTAGTGGTGCATGCCTGTAATTCTAGCTACTCAGGAGGCTAAGGCAGGAGAATCACTTCAACCCAGGAGGCAGAGGTTGCAGAAAGCCAAGATCATGCCATGTACTACAGTGTGAGTGACAGAGTAAGACTAGATCTCAAGAAACGAACAGACAAACAAACAATAATTTACTTTTCTTCCCCTAAATCTTCATTGCACTTCATAGTAATACTGCTACAGTTATACATTATTATTTCATAGATGAGGACAGGTTATTTGTATGCTGCATGCAAGCTGAGAAGAGAGGTCCAGGTGCCACACCTAAAAGGATGCTTAACAGCATCTTGTTAAAGAATACTTCATCTATAAGTTCACAGTCATTAGAAGAATTTAGTAATGGGGAAAGGATTCCCTGTTTAATAAATGGTGTTGAGAAAACTGGCTAGCAATGTGAAGAAAGCAGAAACTGGACACCTTCCTGACACCTTACACTAAAATTAACTCCAGATGGATTAAAGACCATCTGGAACATAAGACCTAACACCATGAAAATCCTAGAAGAAAATCTAAGCAAAACCATTCAGGACATAGGAGTAGGCAAGGACTTCATGACCAAAACAACAAAAGCATTGGCAACAAAAGCCAAAATAGACAAATGGGACCTAATCAAACTCCACAGCTTCTGCATGGCAAAAGAAACAGTCATTAGAGTGAATCGGCAACCAACAGAATGGGAAAAAAATTTTGCAGTTTACCCATCTGACAAAGAGCTGATATCCAAAATTTACAAAGAACTCAAACAGATTTACAAGAACAAAACAAACAAGCCGTTCAAAAATGGGCAAAGGATATCAACAGACACTTTACAAAAGAAGACATACATGAGGCCAACAAACATATGAAAAAATGCTCATCATCACTGGTCATCAGAGAAATGCAAACCAAAACTACATTGGGATACCATCTCATGCCAGTTAGAATGGCGATCATTAAAAAATCTGGAGACAGCAGATGCTGGAGAGGATGTGGAGAAATAGGAACACTTTTACACTGCTGGTGGGAGTGTAAATTAGTTCAACCATTGTGGAAGACAGTGTAGTGATTCCTCAAGGACCTAGAAATAGAAATTCCATTTGACCCAGCAATTTCATTACTGGGTATATATCCAAAGGACTATAAATCGTTCTACTATAAGGACACATGCACACGAATGTTCATTGCAGCACTGTTTACAATAGCAAAGACCTGGAACCAACCCAAATGCCCATCGATGATAGACTGGACTGGGAAAATGCGGCACATATACACCATGGAATATTATGCAGCCATCAGAAGCAATGAGTTCCTGTCCTTTGTAGGGACATGGATGAACCTGGAGAACATCATTCTCAGCAAATTGACACAAGAACAGAAAATGAAATACTGCATGTTCTCACTCATAGGCGGGTGATGAACAATGAGAACACATGGACACAGGGAAGGGAGCACTACACACTGGGGTCTATTGGGGGGAATAGGGGAGGGACAGTGGGGGGTGGGGAGTTGGGGAGAGATAGCATGGGGAGAAATGCCAGATATGGGTGGAGGGGAGGAAGGCAGCAAATCACACTGCCACGTGTGTACTATGCAACTATCTTGCATGTTCTTCACATGCACCCCAAAACCTAAAATGCAATTAAAAAAAAAAGAAGAATTTAGTGTGCTCTGGGAAAAAAGAAAAAAGCACTGGTTATTTTGGTCATGAAGCCATGTTTTTTTATACAAACTATTTTTTTCCAATAGTAAATATAAAACTGGAACTTTTGCTACATGCCAAGATGGATGGAATCTTTAGCCAGCCTCTCATTCTTGACTATAACTAGAAACTCTGAACAAAATACAAAAAGCAACTACCTCTGGACAAAATAGCATAGGAGAAGGATTGGTGAGAAACGTCGAAACTTGAAGAACTAGTAAGGCTGCAAAACCATGGGGGCCATATTAAAGTAAGATATTATTGAACTGTAGAAAGAAAAGGACAGTCAACTCAGAATTCTATATACAGGCATATCTCATTTTATTGTTCTTTGCTTTACTGCAGTTCACAGATAATGTATTTTTTTTTTTAACAATTTGAAGATTTGTAGCAAACTTGCATGAGCAAGTCTATTAGCACCATTTTTCCAACAGTACATGTTCACTTCCTGCCTTCGTGTCACATGTTGGTAATTCTCCTAATATTTCAAAAAGTGTTTGTTATTATTATGTCTGCTATGGTGATCAATAATCAGTGATCTTTGATGCTACTATTATCATTGTTTTGGAGCACTACAAACTCTGCCCATGTAAGATGGAAAACTTAATTGATAAATGTTGTGTGTATTCTGATTGTTACATGGACTGACTGGTCATTCCCAGTCTTGCTTACTCTCCATGGTCCCTCCCTGTTCACTGGAGGGATACTGAACAACAATATTGAAATTAGGCCGAGTAATAATTCTATGACAACCTCTAAGTATTCAGGTGAAAGAAATGGTTGCACATTTCTTACTTCACATGAAAAGCTAGAAATGATTAAGCTTAGTGAGGAAGGCACGTCAAAACCCCAGATGGGTCAAAAGCTAGGCTTCTTCCATCAAACAGCCAAGTTGTGAATGCAAAGGAAAGTTCTTGAAAATTAAAAGTGCTACCCTAGTGAACACACAAATAAGAAAATAAAACAACCTTATTGCTGTTATGGAGAAAGTTTGAATAGTCTGAATAGAAGATCAAAGCAGCCACAACATTTTGTTAAGCCAAAGCCTAATTCAGAACAAGGCTCCAACTCTCTTCAATTCTATGAAGGCTGAGAGAGGTGAGGAAGCTGCAGAGGAAAAGACTAAAGCTAGCAGAGGTTGGTTCATGAGGTTTAAGAAAAGAAGCTGTCTCCACAACAACAAAGTGCAAGGTAAAGCAGCAAGTGCTGATAGAGAAGCTGCAGCAAGTTATTCAGAAAATCTAGCTAAGATCATTGGTGAAGATTTTCAGTGTAGATGAAATGGTCTTTTAATGAAAGAAAATGCCATCTAGGACTTTCATAACTAGAGAGAAGTCAGTCAATGTCTGGCTTCAAAGCTTAAGACACGCTGATCCTTTTGTTAGGGGAGAATACAGCTGGTGACTTTAAATTTTAATTTTGATTAAAAATCATGATGAGCACAATGTCTAAGATGTTCTATAAACTTCATTCTTTGTCCCTGTTTCATTTTCCTTCCTATTTCCCTGTCTTCTGTCCTGATCTGCATGTCCCCACCATATTCTGTAATGATTTGCCATTCTGAAAATTCCAGGGCCCTTAAAAATTATGTTAAGTCTACTCTGTTTTTTATAAATGGAAGAACAAAGCCTGGATGACTGCACATTTGTTCGTGGGATGATTTAAAGATTATTTTAAGAACATTGTTGAGATCTACTGCTTAGGAAAAAAAGATTCCTTTTAAAACATTACTGCTCATTAAGAATGCACCTAATTGCCCAAGAGCTCTGATGGAGATGTACAAGGAGGATGATATGGTCTTCATGCCTGCTAACACAACATCCATTCTGCTACCCATAGATGAAGGAGTAATTTCGACTTTGAAATCCTATTAAGAAATATTGTAAGGCTAGAGCTGCCATAAGGAAATGCTACAAGGCTACAGTTTCCATAGCTAGTGATTCTGCTGATGGATTTGGGCAAAGTAAATCGAAAACCTTTTGGAAAAGATTCACCATTTTAGAAGCCATTAAGAACATTCATGATTCATGGAAGGAGGTCAACTTATCAATATTAACAACAGTTTGGAAGAAGCCAATTGCAACCTTTTGGATGACTTTGAGGGGTTCAAGACCTCAGTGGAGGAAGTAACTGCAGATATGGTAGAAATACCAAGAAAGCTAGAATTAAAAATGGAGCCTGAAGATGTGACTGAATTGCTGCAATCTCATGATAAAACGTGAATGGATAAGAAGTTGCTTATTATGGATTACCAAAGAAAGTGGTTTATTGCAATGGAAACTATGCCTGATGAAGATGCTATGAACACTGTAAAAACATGACAACAAAGGATTTAGACTATTACATGAACTAAATTGCTAAAGCAATGACATGTTTTGAGATGACTGACTGCAATTTTGAAAGAAGTTACACTGTGGGAAAATGCTATCAAATGGCATCAAATACTACAAATAATTTTTTTTTTTTTTTTTAGGAGATGGAGTTTTGCTCTTGTTGCACCAGCTGGAGTGCAATGGGGCGATCTTGGTCCATTGCAACCTCTGTCTCCCAGTTTCAAGCAATTCTCCTGCCTCAGCTTCAAGCAATTCTCCTGCCTCAGCTTCCCAAGCAGCTAGGATAACAGGGATGTACCACCATGCCTAGCTAATTTTTATATTTTTAGAAGAGACAGGGTTTCACCATCTTGGTCAGGCTGGTCTCGAACTCCTGACCCTAGGTGATCCATCCACCTTGGCCTCCCAAACTGCTGGGATTACGGATATGAGCCACTGCACCCAGGCTATGAAGAAATCTTACATGCAAGAAAGAGTCTATCAATGCAGCAAACTTGTGGTTGGGCCACAACCAGCCCAACCTTCAGCAACTATCATCCTGATCAGTTAGCAGGCATCAACATTGGGGCAAGATAATCCACCAGCAAGGAGATTACAACTTGCTGAAGGCTCGGATGATTTCTCACATTTTTTTAGCAGTCAAGTATTTCTAAATTAAGGTATATACATTGTTTATTTAGATATAATACTATTGCATACTCACTAGGCAACTGTATACTATAAATAAACTTTTCTATGCAGTGGAAAACCAAAAACTGCATATGGCTCACTTATTGTGATACTCCCTTTATTGCAGTGATCTGGAACCAAACCCCAAACATCTCCAAGACCTGCCTGGACAACAAAAACATCATTCAGAATGAATGCAAAATATCTCAGATAAGAGAAAATAAAGGGTTCTTACTCTTAAGTATTTACCCAAGTGAAATGAAAACCTACGTTTATATAATAACCTATATAGAAATGTTTAGGATGACAGCTATAGTCACATTTGCCCCCAATTGTACCCAAACAAAATGTTCCTCAACTAGGGAATAGATAAAGTGACTATAGTACATCCATACAATGGAATACTACTCAGCAATGAAAGAGAACTAATTATTGATATATAAAACACCAGGCCTGAATCTCAAATACATTATGCTCAGTGAAAGAAATCATACTCAAAAAACTATATATTGCATGATTCCATTTATATGACATCTAGAAAAACATAAACTATAGAAATGGAGAACAGATCAGTGATTGCCAGGAGTTAAAACTGGGGGAAGGGCTTGACTACAAACAGAAGAGCTACAAGAAAATACATGTATTTTTTAAACTGTTCTGTATTTTGAATGCAGTGGTAGTTACATGTTTCTGTGCATTTGTTAGAACTCATAGAACTGTAAGCAAAATAGTGCATTTTACCATCTTTTTTTTTTTTTTTTAAGATAGGGTCTTGCTCTGTTGCCCAAGCTTTAATGCAGTGCCACCATCTTGGCTCACTGCAACCTCTGCCTCCTGGGGTCAAGCCATCTTGACCCCTTGACCTCCTTGGGTCAAGCTGAAGCTGCCACCTCAGCCTCCCGAAGTATGTGGGATTACAGGCATGCACCACAATGCCTGGCTAGTTTCTGTATACTACCAATTTTATATATTTAAAAAAAGTTTTTAATGGAAAACCTGAAGTCATGATACAGTTTTCCTAAGGAAAGTTATTGACAATTCAATTATCTAATTGCATGTACTTAAATATTCATAAGCAGCAAACTGTATCCCCAATATAATGACAAATGGCCAGATTTTAATTACAATCTTTGTTACAAAATGTCACTTGAAAATAAAAATCTGGCCAGGTGCGTGGCTCAAACCTGTAATCCCAGCACTTTGGGAGGCCGAAGCGGGTGGATCACGAGGTCAACAGATCGAGACCATACTGGTCAACATGGTGAAACCCCGTCTCTACTAAAAATACAAAAAATTAGCCGGGCATGGTGGCACGTGTCTGTAATCCCAGCTACTCAGGAGGCAGAGGCAGGAGAATTGCCTGAACCCAGGAGGCGGAGGTTGCGGTGAGCCAAGATAGCGCCATTGCACTCCAGCCTGGGTAACAAGAGCGAAACTCTGTCTCGAAACAAACAAACAAACAAACAAACAAAGAAAAAACCAGAAACAAGAGAAAAAAAAAAAAAAGAAAAGAAAAATCTATTTGGTCTTCATACGGTTTTGGGAAGTCTAAAACCTTCGGATAGAATTTTAACACCTACGTCATCAGTATATTAATTTTGATATAAATTTTAAAATTCCTGCCAATTAAATAAACTCTTCCAATTCCACACTACATATGTGGTTATATGATCACAATATTTATTTCTGACCTGGTATTTAAAATAAAAGATACTTATATTATGTATGACACTATAATAAACATAATACACACATACAATTATTATTATCACTATTAAGAAGAAAAAACAAAATCATGCAAATAAACCAGAGGCTCAGCCTTGATTCTTTTAACACTGAATTATCAAGTTTTCCAAACTGCCTACCATATTGATTTATGCACTGTAGGACTGACAGAATAAAAATGTGAAAGATTAAATTTTAACATACCCTGTCAAAGAGTGCAAAAAGTTGTCTCAAGACATCTGAAACAGGCAACTTTAAATACTCGGCAAATTCTTCAATTCCAATTCTTCCTCCTTTTGAGGAACTCGCAATAGATGCATATTCATCCAAATGCCTACGAACACCATCCCAATCTAATCTAAAGAAACAAAGAATTATAGATACATGTTATTAGCCCTTTACAATTGACATGGACATTTTATGACCATTATTTTATTAACGTATCTGAGAAAAAAATATTTTAAGTGTTAAATTTGTAAAGGAGGACAAAATTGGTATTTAAAAGCACATATTAAACATATATGCAGGTGTTTAATCTTTTAAAGAATACTTGTATAACTGACAATTACCTCAAATATCTCAGGGAAATAAAAGTAAATGAGAAGAACATTGTAGTGAAACAATAAATGACTCATGAGAAGAAAATAAGAAAGCAAATTTTTAAAATGTAAACATAATCTTAGTAAATCTATAGTATGTATTAAGTTTTGAAAGATGAAATTACAATTCTTGCTTTCAGGCTGATAGTGAATTCATATTTCACAAATGTTATGATGGGAGATTCATTAGACGATACACATGTCCTCCAAGATTAGTTATGAAAAGCCATGGTGATAAAACACTGGAAAACGTACTGTAGCTTACATCATATCCTACTTGCTTTGTAGAATTAAACAAATGACTTAACATATACTTCATAGTCCAATTTTAGTGACTCTCTAAACTTTTTATATCTATATAACATTGTGACCATAATATACAAACAAAAGCAAAACATTTTTGTTACCTTAAGATATAAATAACATTTTCTATATCAGTTATCAAAATATTATACTTTAGTACTGAGCTTTAATATAGTAACTTTCTATAGCTCCTTCATGGAGAGGATATTATTTAATAAATTCTGCAAATTCCAGATAGGGTTGAGAACAGAATGAACTATAATAAGAGTAATGGGAGGCTGAGGGTTACACCTTTTATAGAAATCAGCTCAAAAAGAATGTTGTCAATGGTTTAAACTAAATTATAAGAGCACGAAGAAGCATGTTTGACTTTTTTAAAAGGAAAATAGGTATCCAGAAACAAAGGTAGACCTAGGACAAGTATTTAAAACTCAGTGATGGTCAGAATTGCAACTATGTAAGTCAATTCATGTTTCACATGCAAAGTTCTGACCACCACATGCCAGTATCATCTAATGATGCTGTCCTTCTTGTAAGCAGGTGGCAGGACTAACTTCTCTGAGCCACTAACTCTCTCTGAGGAGGGAGGCAGATCTGTGTGGATCCACATTTTTATCCCTTGGTCTCCTCCTGTGACCAATGCACACATCTCTGAGTTAACTATTCTTGAAAAAGCAAAAGTAGATGAATAAAAATGTGAGATAAATTTACAACTCTGACTTTCCTAATAAACACCAAGTGGGTCCTAGAGCTGGGCATTAATAAAGCAGGAGAAAATAAACAGACAGGATCTCAGATCCCCTTTGAACATCTTTATGAAAGTGTATTTTTAAATCCACTTACTTCAATTTCTGACTAATTTTAGTAAATTCCACCAGCCCAGCTTCCATAGGCAACGTTAGCTGTCCTGCTGAAATCATCAATCTGCAATCTTCATAGGTATGATCTGTTACTGGTATTCCCAGAGCTCTAAAAGTATAAAAAAGAAAACTAAAATCCAATTTAAAAAAAACGGTAGTCATTTTTCATTAGGCTTTAATTGGTTCCAAACAACAGCAAATGAAAAAGTATTTACTACTTTTTAAACAGTAACTCTGGCTTTTCTTCACAGAGAGACATATTTCTCCACTTTTATACAGACTTACTGAGGAACAAGTTAATCTACTTATATCTACATGCTTCTGTCTATGTGGCTGATAATTTTTGTTTTGTGTTTTAACTATAACAATAATAACAGTTGCCTTCAGTTTCATGGAAAGTAATTAGAAGACTTAGGTTCAAGTCCTAGTGGAGTTTTTTACCAGCTGTGAATGAAGCCTCACTTTTCTCATCTGTACACAGGAATGAATACTGTCCTTATTCCAAATGGTTATTGTAAGGATGTATGAATGCCTGTGGAGGTACTGTTTAAATAGATAAATGAAACTGGGCACGGTGTCTCATGCCTGTAATCCCAGCACTTTGGGAGGCCAAGGTAGGTAGATCACTTGAGGCCAGGAGTTCAAGACCAGCCTGGCCAACATGGCGAAACCCCATCTCTACTAAAAATACAAAAATTACCCGGGCGTGGTGGTGGTATGTTTGTAGTCTCAGCTACTCAGAAGTCTGAGGCAGGAGAACTGCTTGAAACCAGGAGGCAGAGGTTGTAGTGAGCTGAGATTGTACCACTGTACTCCAGCCTGTGTGACAGAGAAAGACCCCATCTCAAAAAATAAATAAATAAGCAGATAAATTGGATTTGTACATAGGGTAAGCAAACAATCTATTCAAACTGCTAGCTGTCTATGTTTTTTCATGTTTTATAGCTAGAGATCACCTTCTTGCTACATAGCAATCTTCCAAAAATATTGAAGCAAATTGATAATAAGCTGATATTTCTTCTAAACCTAAAAATCCTCCATCCTTAAGAAAGAGTAAAAATCCTAGTTCCTACTTCACTACTGCTCACAGATTAAATGATAGTTAATTAGGTTACATATTTATAAGAACTGGAAAAATACTGAATAGCAAAAAAAAAAAAAAGATTGTGCAGCACATGAGATTCCTCACTAAGTTTTTATTCACAAATATTCAGTGAAAATCATAAAATTATATCTTCAAACTGTATTGGATTTTGTTGAATCATTGCTAGAACATTAAATTCTGAATGAATACAATCAGAATAAAACATTATTTTCTAGCTAAAATACTTTTTCTAAGCTCTTTGATTAATAAATATTTTGGTATAAGAATATATAAGATAGAAAAATAAATTTTAAAATATTGGGAATTATGATAATATAATAATAAATAGTATAGTATAATAGTTAAGAGCTTGGGCTTTGGTAACAGGAAATGAGGATTTGAGTTCCAGCTCAGACAGTCAGTACCTAGTGCGATTTTAGGCAAACTACTCACCTCCCTGAGTCAGCCTTCTTCCTTACATCATAGAGTTGATGTAAAGATATTGTTAAGTAACTTAAGTTAAGGGTCTCCCACAGTACTTGTGTTTTCAAATGCTTTTATCATATACTTTCCTACTTGAGTCTCCTAATAATCGAAACCATGAGAAAGACAAGGCAATTATTTTAACTTCCATTTCACATGTGAGGAGAAGGGGACTTGGAGGAGACTTGTCCAGGGTTGTGCAGCTAATCAAGGTCTTTCTTACTCTTTATCACAAGCCATTACTACCTCCACACCTTCGGATTTAGAAAAAGACTATCTAAACAAAACCCTTCTTGCTTTTAGGCACAATTTGGGAAGCCAAAATATTTGATATAAATTCTCTCAATTTCTTTTTCTTTTCTATTTTTTTTTTCTTTTTTTAAGACAGAGTCTTGCTCTGTTGCCCAGGCAATGGCTCAATCTTGGCTTAGTGCAACTGCCACCTCCCTGGTTCAAGCGATTCTCCTGCCTCAGCTTCCCAAGTAGCTGGGATTACAGGTATGTATCACTACCATGCCCAACTAATTTTTGTATTTTTAATAGAGACGGGGGTTCACCATGTTGGCCAGGCTGGTCATGAACTTTTGACCTTAAGTAACTTGCCTGCCTTTGCCTCCCAAAGTGCTGGCATTATAGATATGAGCCAGCACAACTGGCCCAGTTCTCTCAATTTCTTTTTTTTTTTTAAATTTTACTTTAGGTTCTGGGGTACATATTCTCAATTTCTAATACTTATCTTGCTTTCTACATTTTTGATATAAGCTGACAGGAAACATGAAAGGAAGAAAGGAAAACAACATAAAAATTAACTTTGTAGGTGGTCTAAACACTAGATAAAACAAGTACATCTATATACACTTAATAGCAAATTTTTTTGCTAAATTTTATTCTATTTTGAAAATAGTTATTCTGCAGAAAAACATTAGGATACATATATTAGATTAAAACATATACTTAATCTATATCATATATATAATATATATATTATATATATATGATGATATATAATCTATATATATATGATATATATATATGATGTAGAGTATATATATATATATATATATATATATGAAATCTGGCTATAAAGCTAAATTCAGCTATGAAGCTAAATTCAGAGTTCTCCTTGAATTTTTACTAAGAGAATAAACATTGCTGGTCTATTAGCTCCAAACTTATCACTGGGAATGAAGAAGGTCGTGTGTGGGGAGAGGGTGCATGCCTGGAGGGCTCTGAGGCTACCTGGGTGGTGGTAGAGTATAATACACACTCTGATTTATCTGGTCAGAATAATGGCCAGTTAGAACTCCCTTATGTGCAGGAAAATATTAACCTTATGTTTTATAGTTTCTAAATCCTAATTTATAGCCATCTATGAAGGGTGACTTCCTCCCTCTTCTATGCATCTTTTTCCATTGCAAACTTTCTCTTTTTTGGTGCTATAGTCAGTAATGCCTTAGAAACACAGCCCTGGGCAGCTATACGAAGGTTGAGGGGATAGAAGATGGGCCATGGCGGGAACCACAGATCATCACAAGGCTCATCTGACAGTGGCGGGCCAGCTTGAAAGAATCTGCCCTGTGGAGAGCAGATTCTGGTCTTTTCTGGTTATTGTACCCTCTTCAGTCGTATTTCCTTATTTGGGGTATGTAGCTGTGGAAAACATTTATAGATTGTTATACGGACCTCGTCTCTTGGAACATTATTTTATGTACCAAAATGAGTTGGGGAACAAGGCCTTCGGGGGGAAAAAACCCTTAAAACTAGTTAAATACCATGTAGAAATAACTTTCAAATTATTTATGAGTTATAATCACATAAAGACACTTACTCTGCCATTAAATTCCGGACTCTACTGGCAAAAAGGACAGGATCGTTTTTTTCTTCATCATTTGGTACTTGAACGGGCATAAACTGAAAGACAAACATACCTTTCCATAACAATGTCTTAAGCCTAAGACATTAAATGCTAAGTAAATTAATTTATGAATTATCAATATATTAAATCATCTACCTTTCTAGAACATAGGTTACATGAGGTAATGGGGCACTGGTCTTGGACTCAGATCTGTTTCTAAGCCCTGAGTCTGCTTGTGTGTTAACCAGTATGGCATTTAACTTTGCTGAATCAACTCCTCAACTCCAAAAAGAGATTTATGATCACTACTTCTCTGGTGATTGTGAGGGTAAAATGAGCCAGTGGCTGTAATTCTGGAAGTGTAAAGCTGTAACTACTAAGACCTTACTCCTAGAACTGCATTTTCTACTACTCCCATCCCTTTATGTAAAAACTTTTTTCTTTTATTTTTGTCTTTCATAGTTTTCACTATTTGTTTGGACTTTATGTTTTATAATTTATTCTGCTTTAAAAAAACTCTTAGTATTGGCTTTACAGTTTTCGCTAAACACCATTTTGATTATATTTTTTCTCCACTTGATATTCTGTGATGCCTCAATTGTTCTGTTCTTGTGTTTATTTATGGTTTTCTAACATTAACAAGGTTTTAGTGCCATATTCAAGTCATTACATATTTTTCAGCACCTACTATATACCAGGCAAGATTAACAGAACACTATTCCCTGCTCTAAAGAAAATCAATATTTTAATATGATAGACCAACACATTAATAACCCCATAAGCTAAGTGTCATTACCCTTATTACCCCCAATTATAGATGGGGCTCAATAGCTTAATTAACTTACCTAAATGTATACAAGTCACATGGCCAGAATTCAGCCCAAGATTTGTCAGATTCAAAAAACCTTATTTTCCCCCCACTAACCATCCTTCCAGGAGTATGAGAGCAAGAGGTAGGAAAGGATTAATTTTGTCAGGGGCCAGGGAAATTCAGCCAAAGAGGAAGGTGGTGCCTAGGGAGAGAGTGCACACAAGAAAGCTAATTCTGTTAAGGATACTCTATAGAAGAACTAATACTTGATCTTGGCTTTTTAAGGTTAAGTGAGATTTTGCCAATAGTTATGTTTATTGAATTATAACTACAAACAGGACATCATGCTAGGTGTTTTACATACATTATTTTATTTCATTAATTCTTCTTCCATAATAGGTGCTCAGGCACTGCACTAAGCCCTAAAAACACAACAACAAAGTCCCTGCCCTCAAGAAGCTTTCCATGCAGTAGGGTAGAAATTCATGAAACAATGAGCTAAATTCACCAATAAGGCATAAACGGAAAGACAAATATACCTTTAAGCATCCACTGTGTGCTGGGTATTTTATATTAGGGGCTTTATATGATTAACTCTCTAAACAATTCCTTGAAGTAAATCCTACCACTTCCATTTGATAAATAAAGAATGCAACTAGAAGAAGTTAAAAATATCATTTTTCCCACAAATGAACCTGTTTTCAAATCTTGTCAATCATATTAAGAAAGCTGTAAGCATTGGTATCTCAGAGGTGACGTTTAAATAAGGTAATGACATGACCAGGTACAAGTTTTTGAGTGGTAACTTCAGGGTATGCCCCAAAGAAGAGACTAAGAGTAGGGAGAATGTCTGGAAGCAACTGCAATCATGAGAGAGAGAATAAGACCTTCAGGAGAGGGAGTGAGGATGTGGAGGATGGCATAGATGCAAGTTGCATTTTTTTAAGATAAAATGTATAGGAATTATAGAATAATATGTTACAGGACATTTTTACTTTTCACATTTATCTGATTACTTTCTCTCTTAAGAGGGCAGCCACATACTGCAGAAAGAGTTCTTGGACTGGGTTGCTGCTTGAGATCTGCTATGTGATCCTGGAAAAGTCATTTAGCCTTTATGAGCCTCAGTGCCCTCTCCCATCAAACAAAAAATTTAACTAAATGATCTCTAAAGTCCTTCCCAATTGGAATTCTGTTTGTGCATAGTTGTTCTTTAATATGGAAAAATAAACTAAGCCACCAGAGGTCCCCACATCCTTATAGATCTAGAATAACTATCTTTGCAAAAAAATATTTCTGAAAATTCCCTGCATCCTGATCTCGCAAAATTTCTTGCATTTGCTTAGTATGACATAAAAAAAACCCAGAAAGTTGAACTTAATGTTCATACAATCTCTAACAAAACAGTGTAAGAAATTAAAGTTTCAAATTGCCATATAATTCTTCATTTTTTAAAAAGGCCAAACAACCATTTTATAATACACTTGATTTGTAGGTCATAAAAGTACATACTGAAAACCTTGAAAAATAATTTGCTGCTACACTGTTAACCAAACATAGTACAATGAAATATGGGTTTAGTTTTTATTAGTGCAGGTAGTATTTTTCATAAAATAATTTTTAATAACTCTCATATTGTCAAAGCATTTTATTCTTAAGGAAGTAAGTTCCACAGAGAGTACAAAATAATTAAAATCCTAAATTTGACACCCATGGGCCTTGGAGGCCCCATTCCTCCTGAGAAGCAATTCAGTAAAAATTCTAATAAAAAGTCACCTCTCCTAGGATAAGACCTTGCCCTCTATATCACATTTCCATTTTGTACAGTCATTCAAGGCTCACAGTGTGCATGTATCCTTTATTTGGAAAGGAAAATCAATCAAAGAGAGGGGAACATCATTGCCACTATCTTTTATGGCTCCCAACACGCATCTTTATATCCCAATGACTTCAAGCCGCAAGTTTTCCTTTCTAACTTCAACTTCTCTCAGTATCCTCCATACACACCCTGATGATCCGCTTGACATCTTGGCCACAGATACTCTTCTCAACTCTAACTCACCCATGGAAATAAACTTATGATTCTAATCTCTGATAAGTTCTTCAATCAGTTTTTCCTCATTATCTATTAGTGTTTATTTCTCCCCTAATCTGGTCTTTCATAGACCATGACAACCTAATGGTCACATCTGGATCTAATCATCCACTCCCTCTGGCAACATCTCCCTGCCTATCAAAACTGGACTTGAGAGTCAGATGCTTCTGTACGACCTGTTACTTAGAATCTTTCACTTCTGCCATGCCCACAGTGCCAATCACACATCCTCAGCCACCTCTTCTGATCTTGCCTGCATATTCCTGTTAGGGACCACTGAGAGATGCTAACAGTGTTACATATGTTCCATGCTTTTTAAGTTGCAATTGAACTTTTACCTCACTCTCCCTGGATAAATGACACTTCACTTTCAACTTTATAAAGAAGACAGCTTATGTGAACTTACTCCTTTTTTTTTGTTTGTTTTTTTGCACATGAAACTGGCTTCACAGCTCCACTCCCCTCTCCTTTCAAATACAGTATTCTCCGTACCTTCACCATACTTAACTTTGCACCATCCTGTCCCAGATGAGGAAGAGACTAATCAACATGTTTCTCAGATTAATATCTCTTGTTTGTGCTTTTGGTCCTAGAGTCCCCTACTTCCTCTTGGGCCTTAAATTGCATACAAGCAAGATACAACATTCTTCAGTCTACTATTTAAGACATCCATCAACCAAAGCCATTCACTTACATAAATGCTCAGTATCACTAAAGCTAGTTTATTCATTTTTTAATTAACCACACCAAGCACATTCCTTTCTACTAAATAAATGATAAGGAAGAGGTAGATTGAGGAATTATGATACATAATAAATCTTTTCTTTTTTCCTTGTAACAGAAATGAATTTTAAAAGGACAACCTTAAACATGCATTTCGAGTTCTTTCTATAATTCTTCTTTTAAGAGAAAAAATGCAAAAGAAGGAAGATATTTATAAACAACACTTGCTGCTTCCTTTCCAAAAGAACAGAAACATCTAGATGAGATGGAAAGTAAAAGTTAGTGCTTATTGAACACTTACTATGTGCCAGCACATAAGTAATCTTATTAATCCTCAAAACTCTATAAAAAAATAAATTAGGTATCATTATCCCCATTTTTCCAGTGAGAACGCAGGCTTAGAAAGGTTTAATTTTCTCAAGCACACAGAGTTAGGTAGTAACATGATTAGAAAAAAAACTCCGGTTAATACCCTTTTTATAACACTCGATTTCTCTATTTAGTATTGACAAATTCCAGAATATTACCAAGTTTCAGACAAAATTAGCTTTGTTAGAACAAGTATATATGCAGGGTGTGTGTGTATGTGTGTGTATGTGTGTGTAGTTGTGTGATTGAGGTTTTCTAAAAGGCTCATTTTAGATTAAAAACTACAAATGGTTTTAGTGCATTTAGATATTTAAATAAACTATATAAATGTCTTTGAATCTTTCCTAAGTAATTAGCTCTCTAAAGATCTTAAAAGTGATATATATGTAGAGCTGTTGATCATAATACTCCTTATTAATTACAATCCTTTCCTAAATCAGTCATTCTTTTTAAATTAAAAAAAAAAAACTTTTCTATTACTTTAAGGAAATGAATTGCCCACCACAAAGTATTTTAGGCCTAATGCTAGCTACTATAAGCTCACTATAAGCTTTGTAAAGGAATTTTCCTAAAGAAAATACAGTGGTCTCCCTTATCTGGGGTTTTGCTTTCTGTGGTTTCAGGTACCAACAGTCAACTATAGTGCAAACACATTATATGGAAAATTCTGGAAATAAACAACTCATAAGTTTAAATTGCATGCCATTCTGAATAGGGTGATGAAATTTCATGCCATCCTGCTCCACCCTTTCTTCATCACAAGAAGAGGGATGAGTATAGTACAATGAGATTTTGACAGAGAGATAGAGAGAGACCACATTCACATTCAACTCTTATTATATCTATTGTTACAGCTGTTCTATTTTATTATTGGTTATTACTGTTAATCTCTTACTGTGCTTATTTTATAAATTAAATTTTATTGGAAGTATGTATGTTTAGGAAAAAACTTAGTATATACAGGGTTTGGTACGTTCTGCAGTTTCAGGCATTCACTGGGAGTCTTGGAACATATCCCCTACAGATAAGGGAGGACTTATTATATGTTTAATATGCCCAGTACAGACAATTTTTATGTATCTATAATATACACTACATGTTTCTAAAGTCAACATGCTTTGAATACAAACTGAGATATAGCCTATGAAGGAAACTGATTGCATAGTTAGTGTGAATGGCTAGTTTCCATTCATAAACTAGCTGCTGCCCACTTAGTGCTTTATAGTCTGATTAAGAATATATTCTCTCTCATGAGATAAACTAGCAGACTCTTCATTTATTTCACTTTTGCAGTGCTTCCTACCAGCTATCTTATTTTCTCTATCCTAAGCCTTATCTTTATAAAGGCATATTTGTGAAGTAGCTGGTTGATAAAAGTATGACTACAAGATACTTTAAGAACACCCATTATGCCACATTACAAATCAAATAATAACTTTTAGTAGGACCATTCTGTAGACACACGTCTTTATCATTGTTCAAGGATGCCAGAAGAATAACTACATAGGACATGAGGTTTAGAACTTACAACATTTTTAAGATCCAAGAGTTGAGAAAATAATAACCTTTTCAAAAATACCATATGTCTCTATGTTGGGAAGCAGAGCGGGCTGGGAAGAGGTTGTAAGAAAATATTCCTAAATATTAGATTCATTACATCTTAGATATGTAATGATTTTGGTAATTAAAGAGTTTGGTAATCATCATTACTGAGGGGAGACTTGTGAAACTAAAGGATATGGCAGCCAACATAATGGGATGTCATGTGACTCATAAAAGCAAGAGTGTCTAAAAGGTGCTTTAACAATTCACTCAAAGTTCAATTTAAAAACCATAAAATTAATACCATATCCTTGAATAATATATCTTGAATTAGGTTTACCTAATATTCAAGAAATTCCAAAACCATGGAGTGAAAATAAAGATAAAATAAGATAATAGCAAGGATTTCCATCAATTTAAAATAAAAAAGGGGTTACTTGAGAACAACCAAGACAATTGAAACTGGAACAACTAAATGTACCGAGACCACAAACCAATCTCAAGATGGGCCTCAGCAGACACGGTGGAAAAGCTGGCACCTCAGAGATGGTCCAGCTCTTCAGAGCCTCAAGCCAGGGTGTGGTATACTTAGTACCTGAAGGGCTGCTGGGATACATTTTCAGTTAAATCCACAAGTGAATATTAAAATATCAAAATATCATAAAGTATTTAGGAGTCACCTGGGTGGAAGGGAGAATCATAAATTTAAAATAAACATAATGAAAATAAGAATATCTGTACTAAATCTGAAGTCCACAAACTCTCATCCTCTTGTTCTGCACCACAATTCTAATTCATCAAATCTTTGTTGATGCGGCTATTTTCATGCAGCTGAAAGTCATTTTATTTGTGAAGTTATGGAACAAAGACTACATTGTTTTCTTTGCCAGAAAAATACAATCCAAACAGGTCTCAGAACTAGCTGGAGAACGCAAATATTACAATGTTTTAAAAAACGAAAGCCGTGACACAGAAAGGAAATGTGGTAATAATGGTCATGGCGAAAAAAAAATGAGGAATCTGAATACCTCTGTTGTAATGCAGTTTGACCACTGACATGCTAAGACAAAAAAAGGATAGCTCTGTGTACATTTCTACATCTGTTGCTAGATCTTGTTGTAGTTAGAGGAAGATAAATTGAGAGGGAGACAATGTCTTGCAGAGAAGACAGCATGGCTTTTTAAAAGTAAGAGTTTTCTTGCTTTTTTTAGAAAAGTAAAACAGGCCTAGACCACCTGAGCAGCTCTTAAAGAAGCAAGAGCAGTGCTCAGAGTATTTAGAAATATTAGCATTTAGAGCTTCCTGAAATGCATTCTACAGAATACCGGTTCCGGGAGATATCCAGAGAAAATGGTTCCATAAGTCAGACATTTCAAAGGAACTGAGTAGTCTTGAGAAAAAAAAAAAAATCATTTTGTTTACCTTAATACTTCCTAAACTTATTAAATTAGTTTCTTTTCCCCCCCCCAGGAACCTCTAAGAAAAACTCAAGCACAAATGTGGGGTTTTTTGGCCACAATGAGATACACTCAGCTGGTTTTCAAAGTGGGGAGGTGCAAAATATAATTAATAAACAGATATTTTCAAGACAGGCAGAAAACAGGCAAATCTCAAGAAAATTTCACTAAACTCATTCTGAAATGTAATTTGCCCTCCTAACTCATCTGGAAATGCTGACAATCTCTAAATGGCCAAATCACTAAGCTATCCAACAAAGCAAAATAGTATTCTTGTGAATTAAATTTCACAGTCCTGTCACTTAGGCAGTAGTCCCCACTCAGAACTCAGTATAAGGTTTTCATCACACAACTCATGGATGCAATTAGAAAATCCAGGAGACCCACTATCAAACTGTCTCTCTTCAGAGACTACCTGAGGGTATTGCTAAAACCCACTGAATTCTGAATTCTGAGGTCTACTCTACATCATATCTAGATACTAAGAACAGCTCTGGAACCAACCTTTGGAGCCTTAAAAACCTCGTCAAAATTTTCAGAATGCTATAATAACACCTCTGTCACTACCTGCCACTGTAACTCAAACCATAACTGTCCTGTGAATGATGTTATGAGCTGCCTCCCAGATATAATTTCCTTGGGCTTTTCATGTGCAAAGTGATTTCACAGTGAGGGCTTCTGACCCCTATGTCTCTCCCCTAGACCCCAAGTAGCATCTCTTAGCTTTCGCAAAACATTTTCTTTAAGGAGGTGTGGGGCTCTATCAGCTACGGTCAGCTCCTTTTGTCAGGATGTGGAAACATATTCAATTTGGCAAAGGTCAGCATTAAAAGGAGTTAAAAAAAAAATGAGAGAAGGTAATGCCCCTCTGGCCAGCCAGGGTGGTTACATATTTCAAGTTCCCAGAATCTAGAGGTGTTTTCTAACATGATTTTAAGGGCTAAATCTGACAGCCTATGTTTATATACACAATTTGTAAAATACCAAGGTTTATGTTATGGGTGATGGACCTTTGTATCTGGACTCCCTAGACTAGAAATTCAAAATTAAAGGAAAGGCCAAATCTCAAGTTCCAAAGCTACATTTTGAATGACTTACCTCAACTTCTACCTTTGTGAAGAGCTGGCAGAAAGTAAGCATACAAAGCTGAATGCTGAAGAGAAAAAAGAAAGAGCTATCTTTATACAATAATGCAAGTATCATCTTATGTTATTCAGCAATCATTTCTTTATACACAAATACCCCCACATCACGCTTCATATATATTTTGCATTTATAAATGCTACGCTGCAGCAATACACTTTTTGGGCCTAGACAACTATTCTTTTTCTTCTTCTTCTTCTTTTTTGAGACAGGGTCTTACTATGTCATCCAGGCTGGAGTGCAGTGGTGTAATCACAGCTCACTGCAGCCTCAACCTCCTGGACTCAGGTGATTCTCCCACCTCAGTCTCCCACGTAGCTGGGACTACAAGTGTAAGCCACTGTGACCGGCTTAGACAAGTATTCTTGACAATTTTTATTCAAAAGTTAAATCACCAAATGAATACCAAATATGTATTTGAGTGAGAGCCTCAGCTCAACAGACTAAACCACAACCTTTGAAGTTTCCTTGACAACACAGTCTCAAAGGCCCAAGTCCCTAGAGAAACTACCCAAGGCCATATTTTAAGGTATGTAAATGTGTGTATAAGAAAATTCCTAGGTAGATCATTACATTTCTTAACTCTTTCTAACATTAAAAAAAAATCGATGGGCCTTTCCTTAAAAGCAGAAGCTTTATTAAAGTTGTCCCAGTTATTTAAGATGTTTTAGTTATGAGGAAATCTGAAAAGTTTCAAATTTCATTGTAAAGGCAGGCAAAGACTGTCTTTAAAGTGATTAAGCAACCCTCTCAAGATAATGTTTGAAATGGTTGTTCCTACTTGTAGCTTTCCAGTACCTATTCAGATTCTCTGGGTAAGATTTCTACGGGATTTTTAATTTAGCCTCATTAGACAACTGACCCAGAAATCAGGCAGAGTGGATTAGACTACACATTTAAGAAAAGAACCAACCAATCTCTTTTCACTGTTCAGAAATTAAAATATAATTTTTTTTGTAAAAATTACCTGAGGGGACTTATTTAAGGAATTTAGGACCTTAATAATTTAGTTAAAAGAAATAATTTAGAAAGTAGATTTATCACTTTCATAATTAATTATAAATTGTTAATGTGTTAGTTCGCAAATCTTCCATCTGAAAGGAAAAAAATCTTTTACTGTCTTTAAACTCTAAAGTCAATCCACACTACCCACTGCAAATTCTTTTTAATTATTTAAATAGAACTGTGGAATTCAAGTATTTGAATAGATGCATATTCTGTTCTGAAAATTCTGCATACTGTAAACCATATAAAACCACAGACAAAATCTCAATTAACCTGTCTCGTCCACCCTACAGACAGACTGAATACTTCTTAACTGATACAAAACTTCTCTAAGTTTATTCTGAGTCTCCTTTCCCTTGGGATATTTGTTTTGTTATAAAATCCATTTCTTAGAATCTGTGCCTGGAGTAGGACTTTGAGCAAGGGTCATTGAGAAAACTTATTTAGAAGTAATAGAGACAGTGCTAACAATAATATTAAGTGGATGAGAAGACAAAAGTGGAAGTGAGATTTGCAATAGATAGACAGGTGCAATGTGGCATTCAAACAAAACAAAGCTGCGCCTTCTAAAGATTTTGTGTTTGTTTAAAAGTCCTGAAAAGTCTTTGACTCTCAAAATATTTTTTCTTTCTTTCATTCCTGAATTCTCTCTCCTTATTTCCTTTTCCTTTTCTCACATACTTCTCAGTTGAGAAGGCTAGATTAACTAAACCCATCTATTATGTTGTCTATCCCCAGTTCCTCTTCTAGAAAAGCTTTCTCCTATTTGATCTCCACATTAACCTGGACTGCTGTGCAATCAAAACAGAAATTCCTATTGACCACATAGTGAACCCAAGTCACTATCTCTGTTAGGAACTTAATCTATAAAGGCCCAGAGGAAGGCGCACCTCAGGAAGCTGAAGTATGCTACGCATCCATTGCTGAGTCACTTCATTTTCCCAAACACTTTCATCCTACCTGTTTCTCCTAATTTTCCATTGTATAAAAGCAATCAGGAATTCAAAATCAGTAGTGCCATGAAACATGTATTTTAGTCAAATGAATAAATTGATTTCCTGGTAAGTGAAAGATAATATGCTGTTTAGATATCCTCTATAATTTATGTTCTTTATTTTTGGTGTGATTTGCTTATCTTCAATTATCAAGGACTGAAGCATAACAAGAATATAAATGTTTCATATGTATTAATATTTATTCTACTGGCACATCAGTTACCTATTCTGATTTAAATTTATTATTTCAAAGCAATTTACATAAACAAAAAATGAAGAAATTATGCAGTAGTAAAAAATTTTGATTTCAGAAGTTGGCTGGATTATGAGGAACGTATCTAAAAATATCTACAGTGTGTGTGAAGGCAATTGATGATTTCCTTAAATATTTCTAAGTGATTGTCACCTATCCATCAACAACATTATCTGAGCTTTGTGCTTAACAATATGAAAACTGGGTAAGCCCCCAGGGGAAGTCTGCAAATCTAGGTGTTTCATACGGCTCTCACCAAAATTTAAATAGGCTCTGACTTGTTCAGAGAGAACTAAACAAAAGATCTTGAGAGAAACCAAGTTTCTACATGTTCTGTTCTTTTTAAAGGCCTACTTCACATCAGCTTGCTTAATAATGAAACTATATTCCTCTCCTCTCTTAAGTGCTTAGAGAAACTGCTGATTCCAGTGCTTTTCAAATCCAAGAGCATAACTGAAATCTTGGTTAGCTATTTTTTCAACTCATATCAGACACTTCATAGCTATTTCAGGCCATATGACTAAATGTTTCTGAATGGCTTAAACCAACATAGTAAGAATGGAGACACTAGGGAATGCCAAATCTGCAATGGAAATAAAACTACAAAATTAAAGCTAACTATGATGCAAACTAGGTCACTTACAAACTAGCAGACAAATACTTGAGATCCACTTGAATAGGACAGATGACTAGAATTTTGCATACAGGAGACAACAGGGGTTAGTGGTCAAAATAGTGATGCTCTCTACAGAGACTTATCAGTAATAAGATTTAAGGCTCTGATCAGAAATTTTTACATTTTTAAAGATAACAATATTTTTTTAATTATACTGTTTAAAGAAATGAATAAATAATCTTTTTCTTCACTAAAATAAAATATATAGAAACTAATAATAGACATAAGTGACTTACAATGTATATCCTTGCCATGTCCAGGTCACAGTATCCTATAATAACAAAATTATTTTAGCTGTTAGCCTCGAGGAAAAATACCAAATAAAGATCTTATTTTAATATAAGGATTCATGTATTTATTTTCTGAAATTAAAAGCAAAATATTGAGAAGTGAAATAAATATATTATTGGATTACATATCTACATAGCAAAGATCTTCCTAATGTCACCAACTTTTTATGAAATGACATGTTCTGAATTTTTAAAAAACTATTGTACATGTTTAGTCACTTTTCTTCTAATATGAACATATCTGGATAATTAATTTGCTTTTAAAAAACCTAGAATACATCAGTTTAAAAAAAAAACATGCCTATTTGGGAGAAATGAAATAATTTGAACATACGATAAACTCAAACCTATAGGCAGAAGTACAACGAATAAAAGTCTGATAGATCTTAATTCTTTCTTTAGCCATAGATGCCCAAGGTTGAAAAACCAGCCTCTATATAGAAATTGATTTCATCAATAACTCTTAATCTTAAATAGTAGAGACAACTAATAATTATATCCTGGCTTTTTATATAAATTCTCTAGTAAAGAGAGTTTCTCTTAGAACCAAAACATTCTCTCAAAGTCTTTCTTTAGGAAAATCATGATACAATCAATATCTAGAGGACAACGTAACTCAACTGGAGCAGAAGAGACTACTTTCTGAGGCGACTCTGGACTTTATATAAGATATTAAGTTAGGCAGGTCACGGTGGCTCATGCCTGTAATCCCAGGACTTTGAGAGGGCAAGGAGGGTCCATCACTTGAGGTCAGGAGTTCAAGACCAGCCTGGCCAACATGTTGAACCCCTGTCTCCATTAAATATTCAAAAATTAGCAAGGCCTGGTGGAGCATGCCTGTATTTCCAGCTACTCAGGAGGCTGAGACAGGAGAGAGAATAACTTGAAACCAGGAGGCAGAGGTTGTATGAGCCAAGAACACGCCATTGTACTCCAGTCTGGGTAACAGAGCAAGACTCTGTCTCGAAAAAAAAAAAAAAAGTTAAGTTCTTCTCAGATATTTTTCTATTTAATTAATCTACTTGCTGCCAAGGCTCACACAATTAGTAAGTACTGAGCCAGTAATGAAAGACCAAGCCTTTCATATTTATCCTGCTATTTCAATATTTCTTCACTAGTAATGACCACTGAATCAGGAAAAGTTTCCTTCTAGAGTTAATGAAAATCACAAATTTTTACTATTCATTCTAATGAGACCCTAATCTTGAAATTAATCACACCAACATGGTGACAACACAGTAGAGGCTAAAGAAATATCTTCCTGAAGTTCAGTAATAGCAAAATAATATTTAATATTGGTATCAATGGATATGTGCCTATCTTGCAAATTTTTGAAAACTAGATGTGGTCAGCAGAATGAACTCGCCCATTGGCTTCCACCATTTATCTGTTCACAATCTTATTTATATATTAAAAGGGGTTCCAGAGTATCCGTGCTATTAGGAATACTGAAATTCTTCCTGTAGTCAAATATTATGCTTACCAGCTTGTTTGGGTATCTGAGGAGGATTGGCTGCACTGGAACTCCTGGGATGAAGGCTCCTGCAACCAACCACATTTAAATTTTATAATGTGTTTTCATGTGAATAAAAGTTTTATGATAAAGAAAAAATTAGTAAATAGTATAAACAGACTAAATATTTTAAGAGTATGTATAACAGAAATCATTTGCTAAATGTTGGTAAATTCCTAGTGCTTACCAAATGAGAGATTTTTTGAATTAAGAACTACTGAAGGAAAACATTAAATGCTGTGCCTATGCCATTTAAAGTATTTGCTTATTCATTATTTACTCACTTTTTTCATTTTCTAAGTGTTAATATACAACAGAATTTTAAAAAATTATTATACTTGAAGTTCTCAGATACATGTGCAGAACGTGCAGGCTTGTTACATTGGTATATACGTGCCATGGGGGGTTGCTGCAGCCATCAACCTGTCATCTACATTAGGTATTTCTTCTAATGCTATCCCTCCCCTAGCCCCCTACCCGCCAACAGGCCCCAGAATGTGATGTTCCCTTCCCTGTGTCCATGTGTTCTCATTGTTCAACTCCCATTTATAAGTGAGAACATACAGTGTTTGGTTTTCTGTATCTGTGTTAGTTTGCTGAGAATGATAGTTTCCAGCTTCATCCATGTTCCTGCAAAGGACATGAACTCATCCTTTTTTATGGCTGCATAGTAGTCCATGGTGCCATGGTGTGTATGTGCCACGTTTTCTTTATCCTGTCTATCATTGATGGGCATTTGGGTTGGTTCTGAGTCTTTGCTATTGTGAACAGTGCTGCAATAAACATAGATGTACATGTGTCTTTATAGTAGAATGATTTATATCCTTTGGGTATATATCCAGTAATGGGATTGCTGGGTCAATTGGCATTTCTGGTTCTAGATCCTTGAGGAATCACCACACTGTCTTCTACAGTGGTTGAACTAATTTACACTCCCATCAACAGCGTAAAAGTGTTCCTATTTCTCCACATTCTCTCCAGCATCTGTTGTTTCCTGACTTTTTAGTAATTGCCGTTCTAACTGGAACGAGATGGTATCTCATTGTGGTTTCTATCTACATTTCTCTAATGACCAGTGATGACGAGCCTTTTTTCCCATGTTTGTTGACCACATTAATGTCTTCTTTTGAGAAGCGTCTGTTTATATCCTTAGCCCACTTTTTGATGGGGTTGTTTATTTTCTTCTTGAAAATTCATTTAAGTTTCTTGTAGATTCTGGATATTAGCCCTTTGTCAGATGGATAGATTGCAAAAATTTTCTCCCATTCTCAACAGAATTTTAAGGAATGATAAAATCATGACAAAGAAAAATAAGAAAATCTACATAAAACTAAATGCTTGAAGCAAGAACTACCACACTCACTAGAACTGAGTCATAACTTGGCTGCTGAGCATTGTAGCAGCTAATACAAAAACATTTAAAGTATTCCAAATTATAAAGAAAGCTGCATTCACTGACTTCTAATGTTAAAAAAAGAAGTGAATCTTAGAAGGCATCTGAAGACATTATAATGAAATAGGTTTTCTACTTGATGACATAGAACCTCACGTGTCTGTGAGGGTTCCCAAATGCATTCACAGCCACACATCTGGAGCGCACATGCATGGAGTGGACACTACAAGGGGAAAGAAATTGTGACACCCAAAGAGAAAGCAAAGGAGTAAGTTCTGTGGTTCCACAACGTTAAAAACTTGCCACCAGAAAAGAAAAAAATGCTCAGAGCAAGCTAAAGAGTTATTTTGTATATTTCTATAAAATCATTTGAGAAATCTTCCATATTACTTTGTTAGAATACATAATTTAATTTTTCTCACCTGGTTTAAAAGTAATCAAACAGGAACGATTAGTACAAGTACCTTCTGGGAAAACTAGTATCTTGGGAAAAAAGGAATAGATTTAATATTTCAGTCTAATTAATAAATTACCTCTTTACTCGCTTTCTTATGACTTCACAAACAGCTGCCAATGCTTAAAAAACAAAAATAAAATAAAAGGCTAACACTTGATTCTAATGAATGCTACCATCAGATAATTCAATTTTCTTATAAAAAAAAGTGTGGTCTGACTATTAAGATAACTGGAAAATGGATTTAAGCTTTGAATAAAGAATATATTTAACAAATATCTCATAATGATAATACTAATGATCTGAATAAACTTAAAAGAAGATGTAGTGTGTAATTCATGGTCAAATTGTGCATTAGGCTACATTAAATTCTTTCTTCTGCTATATATCCTTAACCAAATAATTTCCTACTTTGTTTCAGTTTTCCCATTAAATAATATTTACTTCCACAACATGTAGTTCAGATATGTCTTGAGGACAAAGGAAAAAAGAAATGTGTACAATGTGTTTTATGTTTACTTGAATTACTTGACATATGGAATACAACTTAATATCTTTTTTTCTTTTTCAGGCAGTGTTTTTAGCTTTTAACATCCTTCTTCAAGTTTTCAAGGTAAAAGATATGCAGTATGTTAGTTTCCTCCATTAACTAAGTAAAGTAGCAACTTAGTTTTCTAATGCCCTTAAAATTTAGCCATGAATAAATTGCTAAGTGCATAAAATAAAATAAATTCCTGCAATCACAGCAGTTAGCAAAGGGTATTATGATAATTAGATAAGGAAAACATTTATTGGACTACATTGCCATAAGAACAGATTATTTATAAAATAAAAATTATGAATAGGTATAATCCCATTCTCCAATTTAAAAGTAGGTTTCCTATGACAATGGGATACAATATCAAATATACTTTATTCAGTGAAAATTTAACAACTAAGCTACTAAAAATTAATGGGTATACAGTGAATCATAAAATCTCAGAGCTGGAAGGGCCATTCAAAGTCACCTAGTACCTCTAATGCTTAAATTCTTTCTACAATATCCCCCTCAAGTGGTTGTTCAGCCAATGCCTGAAAACTCTAGAAAAGGATTCCACATCAGACCATTTTCCTTCTGGACAGAAAGTTCTTTAAGATGAGCAATTGAGCTGAAATTTATTTATTTGTTATCTCCCACTTACTAGTCCTAAACACATTCTTATGATCCATAGAGAAAAATCAAACTCTACTCCAAATGCCACCTGTCTTCTTTTTAATCGTTCCTTACATGCTTTGCGTTCTAAAACCACCTGTTTGGTCACATACGTCCTCTTGGACTTTAAGATCTTCGTGTCATCATGTATGGCTAGATCACTGCAGGACTATTAGTCTGCTAAAGATGAGTTGTTTACAACTGGGCAAAGATAAAGGGGTTCCTATTAGAATCACTCTTGGCTTATTTTGCAGTAAATGTTACTCCTCCCTTGCTTTCAAAAGGGATTCCAGGGAAGTGAATGGTGAGATGGTAAAGTATGGAAAAAGTTCTAAAGGTGATTTTGATATGCTCCTTGAACTGAAAAGCACTATCTAAATAAATTTCAGTTGAAATTAAAGATCTTAATCACTTACCCACCACAATATTGAGTATAATTGAGCTTGTATAATTAGGATTTTTAAATAAAATAGGAGATACTTTAGTATAATGGTTATAGATACTAAGGTATCTACCTTGTATCTCATCTTTAAAGTGGCAATTAAATTCAGAGTTAGAGAATCACTTTTTATAACACAAAGAGAAAACTGGTTCAAAGAGTTTAGAGAATAAAAAAGAATGATAAATTTAATACCACCGAGCATCTCATGGGAAAGAAGACTTCTTAATACTTGCTACTATATTTACTCTGTACCTATTATGCTAAAGATACCTAGTATAGGTGTCCACAGATATTGCTATCTGTGGATCCAAATAATTAGATCTACATACGTACAATGAATAAACTCTCAATATATTAAAATTAACATCTACCATGTTTTACCTGGGGCCATTCTCCTCCTGATGTTGCTCGCTTTATTATTTCATTTATTGTGTTTTTTCGGGAATCTGGATCTACACGGGACACCAATACTGGTTGCACAGCCCGTAACAGTCCTTTAAAACAAAAAAAAAGTCACAGGCATGCCATTTTCTGGCAAAAGCAACCACAGCAATAATTCTGGATATACAACACATTGTATGGAAAATTAAAATGAGAGTAAATTGAAGGGAGCAATTAAAAAATGGATTTATTAGAACTTAGCTTCTAATTTCAAAAGGAGAAGTGGATATTTACAACTAAATATATTTCAATAATATAACAGGAGTAAGCAGCAAAAATATGAAAAGAAGCAAATGTAATTTTCCCCCAAAGGTCTTCTTCCTCAATTGACATTAAAGTTAGAGTATGCTCCAAGATTATTGTTTTATTTTAGGAATACCTTGAAAACTGATTATTTGAATTCATAGTACACATAAGTAGGGGTAACCATTACTCATTATACTGCAATTTTCAGCACAACAGTTTTTTTTTTTAATAGCTTCCTGGTACATGGAAAATCAACCTCAATTTACCAAAAATCTATTGCTACACAATTTTTCAGGAAAAAGCCATATTACACAAAGCATGGTAGTTACATTAAAAAAACAAACAAACAAACAAACAAACAAACAAAAGTGTCTTAGCTCAATGACAAAGCTGTAAGAACTACTATTACTTCTCCAGAGCACCAAGGCAACATGAGGCAACTTTCACACTCACTCTCTCATGTGATGTTTGCAATAACCTTGGGACAACAGGGAGTAGTTACTTGGAGACAATTCCTGAGGGAGAGACCAAAGCATCTGGTGGGAAAAACATTTCACTTGTGTCATTATTTTTTTATGGCAGGAAGTACTTATTGTTCCACATCATAATTTTTCAGAGAGCTACACGTAGGTCCCTCATGGATTTGGAGGGCGATATGAAGAAAACAGTGAGGAGAAATGACTTACTGCATTTAGCAGCCTAATATCCTGAAGATAAATTCATGAAACAACATGTAACCTGTGTTTTCACAGATTATCTCAAATCAAACATGGGTTAAATTCTCTCAAATCAAGCACTGGTAGTATCTGAAAACCAGTCTTTCTGGCTATATCTAAGAACAGAAAGACATAATGGTATAGTAATAAAATGTTTTAAAGAGTTATGAGGCTATAAAAGGGAAGTCTCTAATCTTTTTTCACAAATATACTATTTCCGTGTACTACCTTATTACAATAAATAGGTTTGCAACGTTTTATTATTTCAAACTTTTAAAAAAGTTTATCAATAAACTATATATTTTATTTTAAAGCATGGGCATGAAAATATTTTATCTATGTTACCTTACAAGTACTTACTGCCAATCAGAGGGGCTTGTGCATTCTCATTTCGAGATACCATAGAAGGTAGCCCAGCTACAATACAGGCAATTCCATCAAAGAATGTTGAATGAGGGGCAGCAACAAAGACTGGTGCTTCCAAAGGACTTGCGACCTTTCCTTTTACAGCAACTATAAACCCCATTGAAAAGAACATAGCACGACCCAGAAACTTCAAAGCTGTTTGAGTAATTTTCCTGTGAAAATATTAAAAAGACACAATTAGCTTTGTTAATTAAAGCTAGCAGCAGGGTTTTACTCTAAAATACAATAAGAAAACCAAAATACATCAGAGTGTTTCATATTAAAAATATGAGCTGAGGAGAATAATAGCTAACATTTACATGACACTCTTTCTGCCAGGTGCCAGGCACTATTCTAAATGCTTTATATACATATTTAATCCTCAGCCTAATCTTTTGAAGTAGGTATTTTAAAATTATTTCTCCCATTTTACAGATGAGAAAACTGAGGCACAGAGAAGTAATTTGCCCAAGGACATGTGGCTAACAAATGGCTCTATCATTCTGAGACTATAAAGTGTTAAAAATGAATTTTCAAAAAAATGAATTTTCAACAAACATCCCCTACTGAGATGTCCAAATAAGTATTGTCCTTCAAAGTAGTTATCTTGGAAATCCACATTTGTTGTAATGAAGATGCTACTATCTCCTAAAACAGTTTTGGAACTCTCACACTGAAACTGTCTTCAGAATTTTTTTAGGAATTTTTTAAAAAGTAAGTCTTGTTACCTGTATTGTTACAGTTTTTAGATATGATCAAGAATCATCAGAAGTTAGTTCACCATCTCACTTCCCTGGAATGAGATGCTCTTGAGCAATCCAGAAACCACTTTTTAAAAAAAAGTTTTAAAAAAGATTGTGCTATTAAAGATTAGTTAATTCATCAAACTGTGCCAGGAACTGTGCTGGACACACAAGACAAATAAAATCCAGTTGAGCAGGGAAACAAAAATGTATTCCCAGAAGTGCAAACACAGAAGGGATATCTCAGTATGTGAATAAGCATATAGTTTTTATCAAAAATAAAATACGTACATCATCCTGGACGTATTTAATGAGAGCTTTTTTTTTTTTTTTTTTTTTTTTTTTTTAGACGTTGTCTTGCTCTGTTGCCCAGGCTGGAGTGCAGTGGCGCAATCTTGGCTCACTGCAACCTCTGTCTCCCCGGTTCAAGCAATTCTCCTGCCTTAGACTCCTGAGTAGCTGGGATTACAGGCACCTGCCACCAGGCCTAATTTTTGTATTTTTAGTAGAAATGGGGTTTCACCATGTTGACCAGGCTGGTCTCAAACTCCTGACCTCAAGTGATCTGCCCACCTTAGCTTTTAAAAATGGGATTCTCATCTAATTATCTCCACATTTTTGTAATAATATAGTGAGGAGCTATTAGCAACTAGCTCTGAAGAAGTTTCTGTGACTTTTATTTCATGAGAAGAAGTTATATAAAGAAAACCAAAATACTTTTCCAAAGGGCACAGGAACTATACCTCCCTTTCTTCACCTTTAGTTTAGAGAAGAGATTTCTACTCATGTAATGATACAAAGTGTATCCCTTTATCAAATTTCCACACCTCTTATTTTTTATCTATAGTGATGAAGCTTCTGATAACTATATTTATCCCGTATTCGGAGTCATTAAACACTCCTATTTAACATGTTTAAAAAATGGCTGTAAGTCTGGTCCCACATAATATCTTCAACATTACCTGTTTGAGAGGAGAAAGAGATACTGGTTTAATGGACAAAAGTAAAACTTTCTTTTCTAACATTTATTATATCTATTGTCTGGATTCTTAAACCTATTCCTTTTATCATCCTAGGTTTTCATAAGCCACTGACAATAAAAACCAAAGAGGTAATCTGAAAAGAATTGGTGAGTCATAAAAAACAACCCTTCAAGTGTTGTTTTATACTATACAACCTTGAGTTATAAAACAAAGGAGCGTGGTTTACAAGAACTGAGATTTCTCTGGGGCATTACAGCATTGGATTCATTTCCACTTCAAACCAGCCTTGTGTTTGATATCGACATTTGTTCACCAGAACATGAACTGAACAGCAAACTACACATTTCTTTAAAAGTTTCTAGAATAGTATTTCTCAAAATTTTCGGAGGATGTATTCACATTTGAGATTTAGATACAAAATATTCTTGCATATAAAAGAAACTGCCAACAATTTCAAAGAGTTTGACAATGCACTAAAACCCATCTACAGATTTGAAATTCACATGGAATCCGTGGAGTCCAAATAAGAGCCTGCACTTTCAAGGCATACAGATCACAACAATTTGGCTCTATCCAATAAGAATAAAGTTTTACCAGTAGTTTATTAATTCATGATCAGTTTCTCTTCTATTACCATCTTAATTAGATAATGCCTGAAAAGTAGTTAGATTCTGTCTCATGCTAATGTTTAAAACAACTAGACTATATTGGTTAATAATTAAATTGTTATTCTATTACAATAGAAATTACTATTAAAGTAATTAATAAAAATAATATAATTAATCCACTTATGCCACTACAAAAAGCTGTAGAGGGAGAAAAGAAAATATGAAAACTGAGGAAAGGAAAAAGAGGTATTTTGTAGCTTCAATAGTCTCAGGTATAATAGTTGGGTATCTTTCCAAATTAGGGATGTATCACATGTGGCAATAACTCAGAAAACAAAATATTTTAGCATTAGGAAATTACATCTTTTAGAAGATTATCATAATGTAGTTGGCATTTGGGCAGTAATTTCTACATATTTTATATGAGAAATAAAAATAAATTATTATTCATTATTGAGTAGGTAGTAGTTAGATAAAGCTATTGATTACTGACTAAATTATTATAAACTCTTTTTATATTGATATAATATATCTTAATTTAATATTATGTCCTAATATTTTGGACATAATTATTTCTTACCTCCTCCAACCAGTTACTGGGTGGGTCTGCTTTTCAGGACAGCATACTGTTGAAATTGCAGCAAATGGCCATGCAAGTAATAAAATTAACGCAACCAATAAGGCACGAATTGGAAGCAGGATAATCCCAAGAAGGAAAATCTGAAAGTCAAAGTTGGTAAAAATAGATGAATGGACATTATTTTAATTCATAACTATCAAACAGAAACATGTAACGGGAAAGTTTTATCGTATTCATGCATTCAGTCAAGGATGAATTGTCTACTACCCTGTACCAGACAAGGATTTAAGCACAAAGAAAAATAACAAATTATATCTAACTTCACAAAGCCTACTGTGTAGCAAGAGAAACACTGAAGAAAAACCATAAGACAAATGATCTGCATGTCCATGAAAGTGAATAGAGAATGCTGGGGGAACAAAGAAAAGGTGTATAGGATTTAGCAGCCAGGGAAAGCTTCCTGAAGGAGTTGTAGCTTGAACAGTCTTGCACGATAAGCAGGAGCTAGCAAGGTAAGAAGGGGAAATTGCTTTTTGAGAGCTTTAGGTAGAAGAGTGAAGACATCAGAGTGTGAAGAAGTAAATGCATTGTTTTATATACCTGCCAGAACTTTATAACTAATAACAATAAAAACAGATGAGAAAATAAAAATAAATAAGAAGAAGAAATGAAAAGTAAATAAGTAAGAACAGCAAATAATGCATGGATGCCTACTATGTGATGTACCAGGCATTCTAAGCATGTGGCATGTAGTAAGCTATTTAGTTTTTACAACCTTAAGTTTCAAGTTTTACATACCAGAAAGGAGTAGCACAGAAGGAGTTAAATTGCTTAAGATCACAAGCGGTAAAATAAGGATTTGAACCTAGTTTCGTTATAAAGTCTTTGTTCTTAATTCTTTCATTGTACTGCCTTTTGAATGAAATAGACTGTGCTTATGTATAGCACATTGTCGTCTTTTCTATAAGCCAATTATATTACTCAAATAGCATTCTTTTTCTGTCTCTACTGGCCCTTATATGATTCTGAGACAATCAAATAATTTATAAAGAATGTAAAAAATATTCTAATTATTTGGTCTCTAGAATACTAAATAGTAACATAAGGAAATGTACAGATCTAAAGTATACAATTCAGTGAGCTTTGATAAATATATACTTGTGTAACCACCACCACAACTAACACACAAAACATATTTACCACTCTGAGAAAGTAACCTTCTGCCTCTTCTAGTCAAACCCTATGTTCTTAGGCAACCAATGCTAGATTTCTATTGCCATAATTTAGTTTTATCTGTTCTTAAACATCACAGAAATGGAATCATATATCATGCATTCTTCCACTTAATATTTTTTTTTTGAGAAGGAGTTTCGCTCTTGTTACCCAGGCTGGAGTGCAATGGCGCGATCTCGGCTCACCGCAACCTCCGCCTCCTGGGTTCAGGCAATTCTCCTGCCTCAGCCTCCCAAGTAGCTGGGATTACAGGCATGCACCACCACGCCCAGCTAATTTTTTGTATCTTTAGTAGAGACGGAGTTTCACCATGTTGACCAGGATGGTCTTGATATCCTGACCTCGTGATCTACCCGCCTTGGCCTCCCAAAGTGCTGGGATTACAGGCTTGCCACTTAATATTTTTAATTCTACTATGTTGTTTCATACATTAGTAATTCATTCTTCATAATTGCAGAGTATTATTCCACTATGTAACTATATGACAATTTGTTTATTGATTCCCCTACTGATGAACATTTGGGTTGTTTCCAGTTGTGGACTATTATAAATAAAGCCACTACGAACATTCTTGTACAAGTTTTTCTGTAAATATGTTTTCATTTCCCTTTGGTAAATACCTAGGATTTGAAATGCTGGTTCATAGATGTTGTTTAACTTTATAATAAACCACCAGTTTTCTAAAGTTGTATCATATAAAAGTATCAGTAGAAATGTATGAGAATTTCAGCTGCCGTATATCCTTGCCAGCATTTGGTGTTGGCAGACTAAAAAAAGAAAAAAATTTTATGGTCAGGCGTGGTGGCTCACACTTGTAATCTCAGCACTTTGAGAGGCCAAGGTGAGCAGATCATAAGATCAGGAGTTCAAGACCAGCCTGGCCAACATGGTGAAACCCTGTCTCTACTAAAAATACAAAGAAATTAGCCAGGCATGGTGGCAGGCACCTGTAATCCCAGCTACTTGGGAGGATGAGGCAGGAGAATGGCTTGAATCCAGGAGGCAGAGGTTGCAGTGAGCTGATATTCTGCCACTGCACAAGACTCCATCTCAAAAACAAAATGAAACAATAGCAAAACAACTTTATTAAGGTGTAATGTGCAGAAAAGAAAATACACCTATTTGAAGTTCATAGATAACGAGTTTCTCAAATGCATAACCCTATGCAATGACCACCACAATCGAGATATTTCCATCATCCCAAAAAGTTTTCTTTTGCCCTTTGCAATTAATATACCCTCCCCAAACCTAAGCAACCACTGATAGGCTTTCTTTCACTATAGTTTTACTTGTTCTAGATTTTCATATAAGTAAAAACACATGGCGTTTTCCTTTTTTTTTTTTTTAGACAGTCTTGCTCTGTCGCCAGGCTAGAGAGTGCAGTGGTGCTATCTTGGCTAACTGGAACCTCTGCCTCCTGGGTTCAAGCAATTCTTCTGCCTCAGCCTCCCAAGTAGCTGGTACTACAGGCACACATCACCACGCCCAGCTAATTTTTTGTATTTTTATTAGAGACAGGGTTTCACCATGTTGGCCAGGATGGTCTCGATCTCTTGACTCATGATCTGCCTGCCTTAGCCTCCCAAAGTGCTGAGATTACAGGCCTGAGCCACTGTGCCTTGCAGCATTTAACCTTTTATATCTGGATTGATCACTTCATATTTTTGAGAGTCAACCATATCATATGTATCAGTATTTACTCTTTTTAATTGGAGAGTACTATTCCATTGTATGAATATATTACAATCTATTTACTCGTTCAAGTATATATGGCTCATTATAAGTTTTCAACCGTTATTGTTCATATGAACATTAATGTTCAAATCTCTGTGTGGCCATACATTTTCATTTCACTGTAAATAAAATTATTGGGTCATAGGGCATGCTTAACTTTATTTAATACTACAAAACTATTTCCCAAAGTGGCTTCACCAGTTTACATCCCTAGCAAGGTATGAGAGTTCCTGTTGCTCCACATCCTTACCAACATATTGTATGGTCAGTTTTTTAATTTTTTAATGTTAGCCATTAAAGTGGGTATAAAATGATATCTCATGTGGCTTTAATCTACATTTCATGAACAATGATGTTGAACACATTTTTCATATGCTTATTGGTCATTTCTTTAACTTCTTATATTAGTGTCTGTTCAAGTCTTTGGCCCATTTTTACTGGGTTGTCTTTTTCTTATCAATTTATAAGAGTTCTGTATAAATGTATACAAGCCCTTTGTCAATATATGCATTGAAAATAACTTCACTCATTCTGTGGCTTGCTTTCTCGTTTTCTTAATGGCATTTTTTTAATTAAAGTAATTTTAATTATGATGAAGCTTAATTTATCAATTTGTATTTTATGTTTAATTATTTTCTGTGTCCTTCTGAAAAAATCTTTACCTTAAGGTCCTAAAAATATTCTATATATTTTTTCTTCTAGAATCTGTATGGTTTTGAGTTTTACATTTCAATCTATGGTCAATCTTCAATGACTTTTTTTTGAGTGTGGTGTGCAGTATGGAGCAAAGTTCATTTTTAACTATAAATTTATTCAATTGTTGCAGCACCAAAAGACTTGACATTCCTCAATGAATTTTCTTGGCAACTTTGCAAAAATCAATTGGATATTTATGTATGGATTCTCTTTCTGTTGCATTGATCTGTTCATCTATACTCCTGTCAATACTGCGCTATTTTATTTACCACAGCTTTGAAGAAAGTCTTGAAATCGGAAAGTGTGAGACCAACAACACTTTCTTCTTCATCATTTTTCTGAAGCCTATTTTGGATACTTCAAATTTCCAAATAAGTTTTAGAGTTGTCGGTTTCCACACATACACAAAACCTGCTAGAATTTTTACTGAGATTTCAAAATGAATCTACAGATCAATTTGGAGGAAATTGCCATCCTAAAAATATTAATTATTCCAATTCATAAACATGGTATATCTCTCCATTTATGTAAGTCTTCATTAATTTCTCACAGTAATATTTTGTAGCTTTCAGTGTAGTGGTCTTATATGGTTTTTTCCTAAGTAGTTAATGTCATTTTATTGTTGTTATAAATTACTTGATTTAATTTTGTAATTATTTGTTCCTCTAGTATATAAAGGTAAAATTGATTTTAAGTTTTGATATTGTATCTTATGACCTAGCCAGTTTCACTTATTAGTAGTTAGTTGTTCTGTTGATTCCTTAGGAAGTTCTTCATATACAGTCTATTATCATTTGTGAATAGGACAGTTATACTTTTCCCATTCTAATCCATATGTCTTTTCTTCCTTTTTCTTATCTTATTGTACTGACTAGGATCCCTAACATAATGTCAAACAGAAGTGGTGAACAAGGTATTTGTCTTGTTCCAAACCTTTGGGGAAACAGATTCAATATTTTACCACCATGGTATTAATTGTGGGTGTTTTGTAGATGCTCTGTATCTGATGGAGAGAGCTCCCTTTTATCCCTATTTTATTAAGAAATTTTCTTATCATCAGTGGGTATTGAATTTTGTCAAGTAAGTTAATGAAATTTCATTGAAATGATCACATGCATTTTATCATGTGTTTTGCTTATATGGTGAATTACATTGAAATTTGAATTTTATGTTAAATCAACCTTATTTTATGTTCCTGAGATATAATAAACTTGGAAGAAATATACAGTATCATCCTTTTCATACAATGCCATATTTGACCTGCTAATATTTTGCTAAGAGTTCTTACATTTATGAGCATGAGGAATATTGATCTATAATTTTCTTTTCTTATAATGTCTTTTCAGATTAGGTATCAAGGTAATGATAGTCCCATCAAAGTACTTAGGTAGCATTCCACACTTCTCTACTTTCTGAAAAAGCTTTTGTGAGTGATTTTATTATATTCTTAAAAGTTTGACAAAATTTACTAGTGAAA